TGTTATGGAGTATAAGAGTGTATGGGGGATGCAAGGAGTGCGTTACGAGGTAAAGACGAGTGTATGGAGGACACATGGAGTGCGTTTTGGAGAGTACACTGGATGCATGGAGTGTTTTTTGGAAAGTGCATGTTGATACATGGAGAGTGTTATATAGTGTGTATGGGGGACGCATGGAGTGTGTTTTGGAGAGTGTACTACGCTAGATGCATGGAATATGTTATGGAGAAGTGTATGGGGGACGCATGGAGTGTGTTATAAAGAGTGTATGGAGGACATTATGGAGTGTGTTATGGCGAGTGTATGGGGGACGCATGAAGTGCACTATGGGATATAGGAGAGTGCATGGGGGACGCATTAGAGTGCAGTGCTGGGTATAGGAGAGTATGGGGGGATGCATGGAGTGCGCTACGGGGTATAGGAGAATGTATGGGGAGTGATGGGGGACGCATGGAGAGGGTTATGGAGAGTGTATAGGAAATGCATGGAGAGTGTATGGGGGACGTATGGAGTATGTGATGGGGTATAGGAGAATGTATGGGGGACTCATGGAGTGTGTTATGGAGTATAAGAGAGTGTATGAGGACGCATGGAGAATGAAGTGTGTTATGGAGTATAAGCGGATGCATGGAGTGTGTTATGGGGTATAGGACAGTGTATGGGGGATGCATGGAGTGTGTTTTGGAGAGTGTATGGGGGACTCAGTGTTTTATGTAGGCTGTAAGGCGGACGCATGGAGTGTGTTATGGAGAACTCATGGAATACAATATGGAGTGTGTTATGGTGTATAAGAGAGTGTATGGGGGACGCATGGAGTGCGTTACGGGGTTCACGAGAGTGCATGGAGCGTCGTTTGGAGAGTGTATGTTGATACATGGTGTGTAATAATAATATTTTTTTTTTTTTTGTTGTTTTTTTACTTACCTTTTGGTCTAGTTCCTGGTTTTTCCTGAAGGCAGTGGTGACGTAGCCCCGCCCACACAAATGCCCCCTGGGAAGGAAATGTCATTATTGCCTTTGGGGAAAATCTCATTTCTAAATTGCAAGATCTCGCAGTGTCCTCCTACTGCGCATGTGCTAGCTGATGTGCGTGACATCATGTGCAAGCGTTTCATGCAAATGCATCACAATATTACACATTATTAGTAAAATAAAACTTTCCCCCTGAGATCTTGTGGATGTTTTTCCTTCCCCAATAGAGGATTGTAACATACGGTAAATGTGGTCATACGCTTTAGGTAGCACATACGCTGGAGACCTCCAAATGGTGGTGTAGTAGGAGGGGCACAGGCAGCACAGAGGCACATACAGAAGGATAACCAGAAAGAAAAAAGGCGCATGGACATTTGGAAGAGAAATTTTGACTTACCTGTAAATTCTGTATCTTGGACAGTACAGGACAAAGGGAAAGTATTCCATTACCCTGGGTTATAGACTCAGGTGATTGGACACTGGCATAGCTTTGCTGGCCACTTTCCCCTGGGCAGAACATTGACTCAGTATTCATAGACCCGGGACGTACCCAAGCAATGGAGGGGTGGGCAACAACAAGGCATATAGAACTGTGCCCGCAGTCGCAACAAAACAAATTCAGAGTAAAGCTGGAAGAACCTTGTGGCTGAATATTGCCTTTCAAAGAGACCTGGACTCAGGGGCGGACTGACCATTTGGAAACTCGGGCACTGCCCGAGGGCCTGGGGTCAGTAGGGGGTCCCATGAGATGTCCCTGGTACCTTTTTCGAGTTTGGGCAAGGACACAGGGGCCCCATGAGTTGTCAGTCCGCCCCTGCCTGGACTTCTACTTGGTTAAACATGGAAATAGTATGAAGACCAAACGATAGCTTTACAAAGCTGGGCCAACAGATGACATTGGAAGGCCCAGAAAACCAACCAATCTGGAGGAGCATGTGTAGGTATTGGATTTAACAGGGTGCTGCAAATAGTGGTTTGATCTGAGAGACATCTTGAATAAATTTTCTGCCAAGGAAAAAAAAAAAAAAAAAAAAGCCAAAAGGTTTCTGGAATAGAACAGATAACGCTGTAACCTGTCCTGTAAGAGTACTTAAGGCCAAATTCTGGTCAAGTCCTGACTGTAAGAAGTCCACAATGTGAGGTATATGAGGTATGAAGTGATCTGTGGGGTTGAAAAGCCATTGTTCACACCGGGCAGAAAATAATTTTCAGGTTCAGTACTATTGCTTGTTTACCAAATTAGGCCTTTGTGGCTCTGAGCAAGTTGGGAATGACAGAGTTAGAGATACCCCGGACCTTCAAGACCTGAGTTTCAACAGCCATGCTGCTAGAGCCAGTGATGGAAGCATGGAGGAACAGGGGCTCTTGAGACAAAAGGTCTGGCTTGGTTGGAAGACCCCAGGGGTTGTGTCCCAGAAGTCTGAGTATGTCTTATGTATCAGGTTCTTCTGGGTCAGTTTGGTGCAATGAAAATCACAGGTTCCTTCTCTTCTAGAACAGGGGTCTCCAAAACTTTCAAAACAAGGGGCCGGTTTATTGTTCTTCAGACTTTAGGGGGGGGGGTCAGACTGTGGCCAGTGGGAGCGTTTTTTTTTTTTTTTTTCTAGCATCAGTTGGAGTAAACATTTTTCTTAGGGGGAGGAATAGTGCCGCATCGTTGGTGTCATGGGTTGCACCGCTTCTACTGTTATATTAGAAAATAGTGAAGTGTTGATTGAAGCATCCAAAGTAAAATAAACTGGCCTTTTCCCTCTGCAGTTTTATCTTTCTACCCAGGTTTATCCCTGAACTACAAAACTCCCCCTATATTATGGAGAGGAGAGTGGAGGTGTCCTATAGTCCCAATATATTTACTGTCCTAGTGGGATGATATTTTCTCCATAGAAACATGGCACATGAGTGATGCTCAATGATGTCATCATGATTTCTGAGTGTGAAAAGGACTTTAAAGCTGGGGTTTTCTTTCCAAGAACTAACCTAACTTGGCCAGTCTGAAGTGTTCTATTATATATAGCTTTTAATCAGAAAAAAGGGGGCTTTTTAAAGGGCCACTGCATCTTTATTATATCATGGTTTTCAAAGAGCAATATACATCAAAGGATTAATAAAGGTGCTTTCAACAGACCGTCTGATCAGATCCATTTATCTGTTCTTCAGGTGGATCTGAAAGTAAGCTCCATGTTAGCTTATGGGCAAGTGGTCTGCGTCCTCTGCCATGTTTTTCAGTAATAAGCACGATGGATCTTCGATAAAAGGATGTTACCAGATGCATGTTTGTTTACATCAGCCTGCCCAGGGACCCAACATGGGACAGCTAAAGGAGAACTAAACCCAAGAACAACAATGTAATACCTTGAAGCTTACAGTTCTTAGATGTGGTGGCTGCCTTGGTTTTCTATTTTCAGCGAATGAAGAATATAATGGTTGATATTCTTCAGTGAAGCTCACAGGAAGTAACAAGGACATTGCATTTCTGACAATATCTTCCTTTCTAGCTATCTTCTGTAAACCACCAATTGCTCTGCTACCCATGTAATAGTGATGAAGAGATATGGAGGTGTTTGTAGTCCAGGAAGAAAGAATCCTTGGGTGACAATCATGACTCCTTCCATAGATACAGTGGAGGAGTGATGTAGCCAATCAGGAAAAAAAGTGTGTTATTTACAGGATTACCAGGTGAAAAAGAAAAGAAGTTTGAAGAGAAAAAAAAAAAAAAAACAACTGCAGCCACCACAGCAAGGACTAGTAAGTTACCTTCAATAACAGATGCGCCTGCTGTGAGTGCTATATAAACAGCATGTAGCATCAGCTCCCAGAAGAAATTTAGGTCAGGCCACTCCCAGGAAGCCTTGTATTTTATGAGTGAATACAAGGCTGCCTCTGATTGGCTGAGGTGGCGATCGTGATGTCACCTGCCCGCCACTCCACCTCAACCAGTCAAAGGAAGCCCTTGTACTCGTTCAGAAAATAGAAAGCTTCCTATGAACTCAGCCAGACTTGATTTTTGTTCCAGGAGTGGAATGGGAAGTCCCCGTCCTGCTGCTAGAACCCAGCATTGTATACTGTATGGAGCTGATGCTACACCGCACCTATAGCTGCACTTGTTAGTGAAGGTAATCATTCATTTGCACCAGTTTGGTCCAAATGAACTATTTTAGAATGACTGATACTGGATAAAATTGAATTCCCACTCCAGTTTTCTGACTTGCATTGTAGGGTAGCAACCAAAATATGTATCTAAATCCAAAAGACAAAAATGAGACCAAACTACGAAAATCTATTTTTATATTAAGTTATCACAACAAGTCTAAAATACATTGGTTAAATAAAATAGAAAAAAAAAAAAACATATCCAGAAATCCTTGTTAAAAAAAAAAAAAAATTATAAAATAAACAACTCGCTGCGGACAGTTTTTTTTGCTCCGGCTTAGTATAAAAATTAGAATTCTTTTTTTTTTAACGCCTCACGAATCAGTGCTGAACCCATCCAGGGCCTGCAGGGCTATGGACATTGAGAAGGTAACATGAGAGGAGTGTGAGCATTGAGTTAGTCATTATTCTTTGATGTCTTGGCACAGATACTGCAGGCTGGTATACATCAGTCATTATGTATCCACTCCAAATGAACATCCACATCAGTAACACAAGGCAGTTCCATTGGCGCCTGTAAATCATTAGCTATCAATTCTTCTTTGTTGAACATTGAATGTTCTTAGTCCGTACCTAGGAAAGTGATGTAGCTGAAGAGTATGGTATGCCACCGATACGTGAACAAGGTCAGCTTGTGGAGTCACTTCTCTTCGCTTTATGAGATGACGACAGCAGCTAAAAACGTGACACACAGGAGAACGTGTACCAATAAAAGCACAGAGAATCCAATTGAGCGTAAACGGTCAGCAACCTTTGAAATGTCCAGTTTTGTCCAAGGGTAAGGAAGCCAGATCATCAAGGAAGATATAGAGACCCCTTATTAGTAATACTGGGCAGGAGGGTACACCACCTGCGCCTCTTACATGTCCTCTTGTCCCTCACACTTCACTCTCGGTGGCAGGCATGTGCTTCCCTCTCCAGCCGGTATCCGGTAAAGAGACCCGACGTTCGGGGCTTGGTGGCAGTGTGACACTGCCCGTCTCTGACTGCTCTTCCTGTAGCAGCTGTTGCGTTTCAGTCAGGTCGAGCGAGGCGGTGCTGGCTTGTAAAGACACAGTGTCCGTCTTAATGCACACGTGGTCCCGAAGGATGCTGGCTCGGGATGGCTTCACCTGCTTGAGGTCATCCCATTCGCTTTCATCCCCAGACAGTAAACCGAAACCCTCCAAGATTCTGATCTTCTCCTTGGTGAAGCCGTTGTCAGAAACAGCCTGTAACGGGAAGTAGACATTAGGTGGTTGGGGTGACCAATGCAGTGCACCCACCGAAGTGCGGTGTAGAGAAACCAACAATGTTAAAGCCAAACTCTGGGAATTGGACAATTCTACCTCCGCAGTGGACTTCCCCTCTGCCTGTTTGTGAAGTCGGGGGGGTGCAGAGATCAGGTGCATTACTTGCCTAATAACTGCAAATTTTGTGCATCCATGAGACTTATTCACTCCCTTGTTATCTCTCGCCTTGACTATTGTAACTCCCTCCTCATTGGCCGACCTCATCGCAGGCTATCCCCTCTTCAGTCTATCATGAATGCTGCTGCCAGACTCATCCACCTTACTAACCATTCCGTATCTGCCATCCCTCTCTGCCAATCCCTCCACTGGCTTCCCACTGCCCAATGGATAAAATTCAAAACATTAACAATAACATATATAAAGCCATTTATAACTCTGCCCCAAATTACATCACCGATCTTGTCTCCAAATATCACCCAAACCGTCCTCTCCGCTCCTCGCACGACCTCCTGCTCTCTAGTCTCCTCCTCCCATGCTCGTCTCCAGGACTTCTCCAGAGCTTCCCCCCATCCTCTAGAACTCTCTACCCCAATTTATCAGACTATCGCCTACTCTGCTTACTTTTAGGCGATCTCTGAATACCTATCTCTTCAGGGAAGCCTATCCTGCCTTCAGCTAATAATGGAATCTTCTACTCCTCCTACCACTCCATCCCCCACAGTTATTACCTTTTGTACCACTAGCCCCTCCCTCTTAGATTGTAAGCTCCAAGGAGCAGGACCCTCCTTTCCCTCTTGTATTGAACTGTATTGTTGCTGTATTGTCTCCCGTTATACTGTAAAGCGCTGAGCAAACTGTTGGCGATATATAAATCCTGTATTATAATAATAATAATGAGACTGCTCCAGTGCTGCTACTCCGCTAAGGCACTTTGGGTAGTAGTTGCATGCTCACTTCCACCATGTACAGTGCAGGGTTAAAGTGGTGATAAACTTAGACTTACTATATGCTTACCTGTAGGGCAAAATAAAAAATGTAAGTACTGTATTGTGATTATCTACTAAACCTGCAGAGCCATCGGCTCCAGCTGAATATGTCACTGCGCATGCGTAGTACGCTCTTCATTCAGGGCACAAGTAGTGCAGCAAGTACTGTGCCAAGATAGTGACTCCTGTGCACATGCGTTAGAGTGACGTCATCACAATCATTCAAACGGCCTGAGAGTGCGAACCCAGAAGGAAAACCAGGCATAGATGGAAGTGCCAATGTAGTACATACAACCACAATATGGCACAAACCTGCAGTAGCCCTATTAAAAACAAAATAATGGAGAACATTTACTACCACTTTAATAGCCGTGCACTATGACGATGCCAAGGGACTACACAGCCTGCAACTTTAGGCAAAAGAACAGCACTGGAGACTGCAGGAAAGGGTAAGTATTACACCCGATCTATTCATCCCATTGAACCCTTGCAGTGTGGGGACGTGAGGGGCACTGCAAAGGGTTCAATTACGCTTGCACTGCAAAGGTAGATTGTCTTATTCCTGGAGTTCCATTGTAAAGACCGTATAGCAACGTTGCAGCCCAAGAAGAGTGTGACAAATGAAGACATTTTTTTCTTGGTCAGCAGTAAAGAAAAGTCACAACCAAATGCAGAAAATGGACACAAAAGCATAATGTGCTGAGAGCTCAACAAGAGAAACCACAGATGTAAAGCTACCCACACAAAGGCACAAATGATCATTCACATCTGATAAAGGAGCATGTGTGGATCAGAGAGGAGCATGACAACTTGCAGATCAGCCATTTAGGGCTAGAAAAAGTTTGCTTGCCTGCAGACTAGGAAATGTATAGAATTATCTACTGACATCAGATCTCTTGCTGAGATTGCGGGAAGCTGTCATTGCTGTTGGGCCATCATCCTTAGCCAATGGCAGCAAATGGTGAGCGCTTTTCAAATTAAAGGATAGGTTCACCGTTCAAAACAATGTGAATTTATTTATTTATTTTTTTTTAAGAAGAAAAAATGTGCATTTAATATTTTTATTTATTTATTTTACAGTTGAACTTGGAGAGAATTGCACCCACGAACAGTGATTCGCAGGTGCAATTTCAGGTTCCTGCAGAAGCTGCTGAGAGCGGTCTGTCCCTATCCCTGTACAGAGAGTTACTCAGATTCAGGTACTGTTTGTGAATTACCAGGATGCTGGTCAGACTGTAAATATGGGTGTAACATGTTACAGGGGGTGAATTTATTCTTTAAAGCCCAAACTCCAAAAATTTGACAAAGAGACCCTTGTAGTAGCCCCCCATCCAACAGTGCAAAGGTTAACTGAATGTTAAAGTAGTTTTTTTTTTACTCATACTTACCTAGGTGGACGCAACATCAATCCGATGCTGCATATGTCCCCCTCCAGCTCTAAGGCTGAGAACTGAGTGATCAAGCTCCGCCGATCGCTCAGTTTTCCTTGCCACTCTGAGCAGTGAGACGTGACTGTCAGTCTGTGCTGTCTACTCTGCCACAAGGAGGAAATTGTGAAATCATCCATCTGCCTCTCCACGTGGGCCAATCAAAAGAAGCTTTGTATTCATTAATAAAAATACAAGGCTTATCCTGAATAGCAGAGAAGAACTCAGCCTGACTCTTGAATTTCAGCAGCAGATGGGAAGCTGCCTGTACTGCTCTGAAACATTGCACCACTTATTGTACATAGCTAGCTTTACTTCAGTATATTAAAGCACACGCAGTCGCCACATCATTCTGTAATGGAAAGAGTTGGTTTGGGCCAGCTTGGCCAAAACCTACTATTGAAAGTGAAAGGAAAGCCGGGAACTCTACTTTCAAATTTTAAATAGACTGGGGAAGGGTTGGGCCCTCTGTGAAATTTTAATTGTTGTTTGTGTCCCCATTGGGGAGATTGAACCCTTTATTTGTCCCGGTGATCATTGCCAAAGCAAAGTGTGCTGACTAAAAGCAACCAATGAGTATTCCATGTCTGTCAATCGGAATTATATTGGTTGCTGAAAATTACAATACATTGCACATAGTTTCTGCCCTTTATACCACCTGGTTACATAAGCCTGATGGTTTTCCCACAATGGGAAATGTGAATATTGTGAACCTCACTTAATGGTTTCCATTTTATTTTTACAGTTATACTTCTATGGTCAAGAACTGATACATTAGCACAGAGACAAGTGATACACATGACCATCGAGTCTGCAGAAAATCAACAGCAAATTGAGCTTATGTTTGATAAGTATACCACATGCTCACACAGTTAGAAAAGAGGACCCAGATTCCAAAAGGGATATCCTTGGCAGCTCATTGTAATATGTTTTCCAGATGCCTCACAGACCCTTGTATGAGATAAAACAGAAACGGAAAATGATCCAGGCTTTCAAGGAACCAAATTGGCTTGTGCCTTTACTCCGTGAAAGGATTTACGTAGTACTAGATTTTTATTTTTTTTTTTATTTACATGGTCCCATAGATTCCTCTTGCAGAGTGTATTGCTTGCATTGACTAACCCTCTACTCTCTTCCTCATTCTTACATTTGGCAAGCATGCAAGCTGGGTGTGCCATATGAAGAACATCATAGGTATATGTATATCTTATGCTTGGGCCATGGAAAGGCCAATAAAAAATTATACTTGCGCATGAACACATCTCAATGGTGATGGATTCAACTGCCCATCTTGCATACTTTTTTTGCAATAAAAGTGGTGTGGCACTTTTACCGGCAAAAAAAAAAAATCAGCACACCTGACTAACCTGAAAAATATGTTTATCACACTCAGCTGACCCAAACTTACCCCTTGACCTAACCCCTTACTTGAACCTATTAATGATCCTGGCCATACACAAATAAAGTCCATAGAGCCCTCCCCCATCTATACTAAATAGCCTGGATGGACGAATCTCCTGCTGTCAGCGGTTGTATATTCAACATAGCTGGTTGGCTGAAATCACTATCCAGATGACTTTGTTTCTACAGATTTCTTTTGATTTCTTAATGGAAATTTGTCAAACTGGTTGGTGTCCGCAGGGCCACCTATGGCTCAAATTTTGATTGATTTGCAGCAATCCATAAAAATTTGAGCCATGTACGGTCAGCTTAACTCTTAAACGACCCAATCTGTTTTGTAACAAAGGCAGGTCCATGCAATAGAAGAGGTATTATTTCCACCAGGCTGTGTCTTTTATCCCCATCCCCCCCATTCTAGTGCTACAGCTTCATCAGACCTTTCAGCATTCAACACCTCTGGGAGGGTGGGATGCCTAAGGCCTCGTTCACACAGATGTACCACAGCGAACACCTATGCAAGGGCCACGTTTACCCACATGAGGATACACAGGGGTTTCGTGCATCCCTGTGCAGGCAATCCTCTTCATGTCAGTTGGGATGTAGTGGTTGCACGGACATAGCTGATGCTCCCAATTTGATGTCTGCAGGTGCAAATTCCCAAATTCACACTATCTGCATTCGAACTGCGCACCAACACGGCTGACAAATTAGGAGCAGCGGTTGCGTCCATGCAGCAACTACGTTTGAACTGTCATGAATGGGACTACCTGGACAGAACACCTGTGCATCCCCATGGGGGGGTGAACACAGACCTTGCACAGGTGTACGCTATAGTACGTCTGTGTGAGCGAGGCATAGGTCTTCAACCATATGCTGGTACCTTTCTGCAGCCCTTGAAACATTGCTGAGTCCTGTAGTGACAGCGATTGGAGGATGGAACTGCAGCAGGGGATATTCTATATGAGAAACCCCAAAGTGTTGGATAGCGGCAGCACCCACAACTCTACTTTCCAGGGAACCTTCACTCTCTTGAAAAGTACAAAGCTACTTTTACAGGATACTGCATGTCCGCCAGTCATGGAGCATTGGTTGGGTTTGAGGATTTCAAACCCAACCAATACTCCATGACTGGCGGACATAAGACTCCACACCCACCTTTTCTTGTTTTCAACCCCCTGATAGAGATGCTGTAGGCTATACTATTTGTTTCCTACAAAGAACTAAACGTCTGTGCTTTACAAGTGTTGGGACGCCTTCTGCCCCATGTATCAGCCATATTAGGCCAATGAGACCGACTGCGATAAATGGTAAGTCAGCCATGTTAACAGGATAGGAACTTGATGATACCCAAGGGCTTGTTGCAGCTGGAAAACATACCCAAAGCGGGAAGTGGGGACACACATTTCAAAAGCAATGAGAGTGGGACTTAATGGGCAGTCACTCACATGCAGCAACAACCAATACCTGCAGGTAGGGAGAGGACTCAGAACAGGAAAGGAGAGAGACTGTCAGAAGGGACAGAGTGCTGCAGTGGATGAGACAGTGTGACAAGAATCGGTCAGGTGACAACACTCCAAAGATGCCAGAAAAGTCATAAAGTGAGTCAGTGGTTTCAAACAAGGCAATACACGGACTTGTGAAAAAACATGGTGCAAACAGCAAGAGTGTGCAGTAATCCACAGCAACACATTCTCTCATTACTCCACACATGCTGAACTGCTGACATCAGGACAAAAAGGCAAATACACACATCTACTTTATCTTCACACCAGCCTAGCCTTTGCACCTGCATCAGAGGCTTTAATGGGTACTTGTGTCGATTTAAAGTGGTTGTAAACTTCAGAAATTACAAATGAACAGAGCATATTTGTCTATAGTGTGTACCAGCTTCAATCCAAAGCACCTAGTGTGACTTGTCTCCTCTTTCCTCTGCTTTCTGCCATTAGTCACTTCTGACAGGCTATCCCAACAACCAGAGATGTCAGCTCCCCAACACACAGTGACAGTCTCAGCTGTGTATGTTTCCCTATGGGACTGTATAGGGGGGGGGGGGGGGGGGTGTCAGGTTGTCAGCCAACTACTCCTTTTACTATTATTAATGTGTTTTTTTTTAGAGATCAATCTGAATTTTTTAAACATTTGCCTATCCCTCTGCTGGTGCCCTTGGGGTGCCACTCTTTAAGGCAACAAGGGCAGCGTGCTTCCCTTTTCCCAACACCTATCTGGGAGGATTTGAGGCACAGTGGCTACATATACGACTTTTGGTTTTATAACAAGTGGCGGCCTTCTATCCTTTGTCCCATGTTGGGTTATGGAAGCGCTTCTTTATATATTTGTAAAAGAAATTGGGAATCGATGTATTACAGTGATATGATCCTACTTGTGTATCTATATCATAGGTATCATGTCCTATTTAAGCACGTCTGAGGAAGAGATACTCTATCATTTCCAGACACGTCAAGTGCTATTTCATGATCCGTATTCCATCTTTCCTGCCTGAACATTCATTGTAACAGAAAATTGCAACGTATAACCGCCACGTTTTTTTTTTATGTCTGGAAATATTAATACATTCTGTGTTTAATATAGGATGGTTTTACAAATTTTGATGAATTTAACATTTTTTGCTTTGTTTGTGCCATAAAAATCCCATCATAAAGAGGGTGTTTCCACATATAGGGGGGTCCTTTCCCTCCCTCAGGTCTCAGATTACAATTAGTTATCCTTTCATTGCTTTAGCATTATGCAAAGTCAGATTCTGTTCCCTACTTCCTGGAGCCGAGAAATAGCCTTTGATTTGTGTGTTTTAGTATGCTGTAGAGAAGAGTGCTACAGATAAAGAGGTACAACTTATGTAGGAGGATTAGTTTCCTCTTTGTGCATGACATGAAAACTGTCACCTCACTGGGTATATGTAAGGGTTTACAGCCACTTTAAGAGGGAACCCCAGGCAAACAAAACCGGTCTCCCCCCAATAATACAACTTCGATCTGATATGAAAAACCTGAAGGCAGGGAGGATTTAATTCCAGAAGAGATATACTAGGTCTCTTCTGCAATAAAGGCTTCATACCTTCCTCCTCCCAAGACGCTTTAGAATGTACAAGGATATGTGCATGCACAGCTCAGTGTACATTCTAGGCATGCTTCAGTGCCAGAATGAACAAACTCCCACATGCATGAGAGTTCCATCCTTCCGGCCCAGCCAAATCAAGATGGCTGAACTTGGGGCAAACTAGAGGAAAGTTCTGGGCTGTAACATGGTTATTCCAGAAAGAGTGTTTAATACTGACTCACATAGATCTCTGGGGTCACTGTTTGAGTTCATCTGATTTTTATCCTATGATCCTTTGTTCAGCCCTGATGAAGGGTAGTGACATTGCCCCTGAAACGTGTCAACTGTTTTTAAAGGACTTAATAAAGTAGTGATTCAAATTATCTTGGACTCTTTGACGGGTCTTTGGTTTGAAGCACCTTTTGGCATTTCTATGTTCTGAACCAGGTGAAAGAGGTCAGTGTTGGTGAGGAAACTTGTGGATGTTGCTTGCTTAAGAGGAAGAAGTATTGCAGGATTTAATTCCACTTTAAATAGGTTTTCAAATATTCCTAGCATAATTACTTAAAATCTTTCTTACTATCATTCCTATAATATTCTGCACAACAGAGACTAAAAGGTAGGTTATGCACTCTGAGCCAATCCAGCTTTATTACACTTTACAATGCTGTCAGGCTTACTAGCTTTCAGGCACTGGGTGATAACAGAAAAGACTTAAATGTGATGATGCCCACTCATTGCCCTATGACCATACTACTGACACGAGGAAGCTGCAAACATCAAAATCTGGGTGGGGATGGAAATATTAAATGGAGCAAAAGTGGGGCTGTCAGAAGTCAGAACCGGTTTTGTTGCCCAAAGAATGAGGATACCTAATTGATTGCTCTGTGTAGTAACGACACTACCTCTATTCTGCTCTTTAATTTTCATACACCTGTTGTTCTCAGTTACAGTTATTATATATTCATAAGACTGCAGCATAAAATCATTGGGATTGGTTCGAAAATCTTAAAAAAAAAAAAAAAAAAATAGCTTGTTTGCACTAGCATTTAATCAAAAACAGAACTCCAAACCAAATAAAAAATTAAACTAAATTAAAAAAAAAAAAAAAAAAAAAAAAAAAAAAATCACTTTCAATCCAGAGCTCTACTCTACACTACTTTTTTCTGCCTCAAGATGCCCTTGGTCCAATAGCCAACATCATTCAACCCACTTCCTCTGAGCCCAGGATGTTCTGCAACAGCATGACTGGGCTGTGAAAGGGGAAGCAGCACAGTGATGAGCTCACCTGTCACCATTGGCATGCTCTGTGTCAGCACATTAATAGATTGGCTTCTTGTGCTGCTTCTTCCTCTCAAGCTCCAGCCCAGCTGTAGGGACAGCCAGAGGCGGATACCAGGTCAATTTCAGGGACTTAAATGGCTTACATTTAAAAAAAAAAAAAAAAAAAAAAAAAAGCATTATATTGTATGTTTTATATCTGTCTGGAGTTCAGCTTTAACATCCTAAATGATGCCTTCTATGGAGGGGGCACACATGGCGCTAAATCCTTTCATACTCACGACTTACAGCTAGACAAATCTTTCATCTGTAGCAGACATACCATCCAACCAGTACAGAAAATCCAACACCCGGTCCTCACCTCTTTACGATGTCGCTGTAGATGACAAACGGAAGGCCTGTGCACCGCTTCAATTTTCACCTCTTGGGTCGACGTGCGGTAAGACGGGTTGCTGTAAGTGAGGGTCCCCAGTGCTGGGTCGGACAGCTTAGCACGACGATGTCTGTGAATGTAAGGCGAAACATTCAGCATTACACATTTACCTTGGGTTGTTCATCTTACTATAGTAGGTCACACTTACCTTTGGTAAGGTAGAATCTTGTTACTGTACTTAGCTAAAAATGGTTTTACTCACCGTAACTCAGCATGGATATACCTACCCAAACATCCAAAGGCACCCACATAAATGAATAAAACATAGGCTGTTGGCGTTTCCCAGCCTTTAGTAAATCATGTACCATCACCACAATTTATGTCGCCTGATCAGAGGCTCCATGAATATGCCACCAGTCTCCAATTCGGCAACCTTTATCCTCTTCAACTTCTCCAACTACCCATAACTCTTCTACACAGCCACCCCCACACCTCTATGGCCGAGTCTCTGGAGTCATACCATACCACGTACTTCCACAATTTATGAGGTCCTATTAGTGACCAAAATCCGTTTCGCTCTACACTGGCTACTGAAACACTGGCGGGTGCTCCAGTGGTTTAAAGCGGCTACTGGAGGTCTGTAAATTTTCTCTTGAATGTTAGAATGCAGCTGCTGGTGCGTGGGAGGTAGAATGCAGCTGCTGGTGCGTGGGAGGTAGAATGCAGCTGCTGGTGCGTGGGAGGTAGAATGCAGCTGCTGGTGCGTGGGAGGTAGAATGCAGCTGCTGGTGCGTGGGAGGTAGAATGCAGCTGCTGGTGCGTGGGAGGTAGAATGCAGCTGCTGGTGCGTGGGAGGTAGAATGCAGCTGCTGGTGCATGGGAGGTAGAATGCAGCTGCTGGTGCATGGGAGGTAGAATGCAGCTGTGGTGGATGGGAGGTAGAATGCAGCTGCTGGTGCATAGGAGGAGGAAAGCAGTACTAATGCACGGATCGTGGCTCATCGCACTTTTTTTTTTCTTTTTGGCAAACTATTGAAAATGTCACACTGTAAACATTTTATTAAGTTCTATTGGCCACAGTGTGGTGTGAAAAAAGTTGTGCATGCTGTAACTTCAGCATCAGCGCACACCACTGCAATGCAGCAGTGTGAATAAAGCTAGGTAGAAGAGAAGGCATTTTGCCTTTTCCAGCAGTGGATCTACGTGGAAATAGCTGCCCAACACAGTCCTACTGCACCTGGTGTGAACAGTGGTGTATTTAAGTTTTTTGCTATCCCGTTGGACCATCAAAACCCCTGCCCCCCCACACACCCGAGAGAGTTTTCCCACTAACACCCCCCCCTTTGGCAGCAAGAGTGAGAAAGACACTCACCTTCACAGCTCCAGACATCCCTGGTAACGAGAGACAGGCTCTGCATACACCAAGCAGCCCACAGCCTCTTTCAGATCCCACCTGGTCCCCATGCCAAATATGTCCCTTCTTTGGGGGAGGCGATACCCCCCTGAAAAATGCTGCCCTAGGCGAATGCCTTGTTTGCCTTGTGGTAAATACGCCCCTGGGTGTGAATGGCCCCTTAAGCTCCTGCAACAATCGGACCATACTATCTCTGTACAATCAACTTTAGATCTACCAAAACTATGCAGACCCACCTGAATTATCCAATCAATTTGTATCCACTCAGACAAGGCCTGGCACTACATACATCTTGGTAGGTCTCAAGGAGATTGTACAGTCAGAATGTAAAATGTAGAGAGCCTAACCTCAGAGAGAAAAATCAGCCCGTCACACAGAGATCCCCCAATGAGCTGAAATCTGTGTGCAATACCAGTCAATTTTATAGAGATTATAAAATGTTCATTATCACCCCACTTTGGGTTAGGCCTTTGATTAGGTATAGGATTTGGCCAATTATAGACATTCTCATACGTCTCATGAGGTTTAATGTTCCAACCATCATACTTCTATATTCTCCCGATAACGTCCTTCCACTCACCTGTAGATTAACAGAGCACAGATGAGAAGCAGCAAGCACAAAAGAGACAGAGATCCAGCAATAATGTGTGCCACACGTAGTCTGTCCCCTAAGCGAAAAGATTAATAAAAAGAAAATAAGAAGAAAAAAAAAAAAAACAACACATATTTATTGAACAAACTCTTTTAGTGATTCTACTACGAAGAAAAAAAAACGTTATGGAAAAGACACTGCATAAGAAGAGTATTCAAAATGAACTGAATGCAAACTGCAAAATACACCAATAAAATAAATATAAGGGAGTTGTTTTACCCACCAATAAATTTGAAAAGTGTGCATCCAGAATTGAGATTAACCCTGAGTTCACACGGATGTGGTGCTAAATATGCACTGGTTTCTGAGAGAATTCCACACCACATCATAAATCGCACCCAGTTCATGCAAACCGCTGTGGGTGTATATGTTAACAAAATGAAAAATGCGGTGCGATGTGCAGAATCGGCTAGCATGGGTAAGAACACCCATGCGATCTGATTCTAGCGCGACCAAAAAAAAGGGTCCTGCACTATTTTGGTGCGGATGCAGTGCAATTTGAGCCATACAAAATGTATGGCTCAAATTGCACCACACAGAATTCGCATGTGATTTGCACACGATTGTGGTGCTATTTCTGTGCGAATCACAAGCGATGTACCACATCGCAGAAGTGTGAACTGGAGCTTATACAGCTTTGCCACATAGCATAGCCCTGTCCGACAGGGTCTTCCTCCCCTTCTTTCCTTTGGGATGGATCAGGGAAAATTCTGATTGGTCATTGCTGGCATGTGACCACTCTGACCAAACTAGAATCGCTTTGATCCATTCCAACATCCCTTAGGAAAGAAGGGGAAAAAGATCACAACTTTCAAATCCCTGGACCACTACACTAGCTGTGTAAGCATGGAAGCTAATCATCCACAGGAGGTAAATGCAGGGGGGGGGGGGGGGGGGGGGGGGGGGGGGGGGGGGGGGGGGGGGGGGGGGGGGGGTCCGCTGGACGGAACCACTACACTAGTGCTTGTGTAAGGCATGAGAGTCTAATCATTCCGACAGGAGGTAAATGCGGGCACTAGAGAGGTGGAAGGGTGCAGTAATTGGTTCACCTTTTAATTTTTTTGTGAAAAGGTTAACTTACACTTTAAGCAATAAAACTTTGGTCACCTTTCTATTGTCTGGACAGGGAGGAGTAGCAGGACAATGATGAAGTGATCCCTCTGCTCTCCCCTTCCTATTCAGGAAGAAAAGCGACAACATCGTACAATGCAGTAGGGCCTGGTTGATGTAGAATGCTGACCCACTGCACAGGAGGCTGATCTAGACATATTTAGGTACTGACAGTAGCTATGCTGTATGTAAAAGTATACTTTGTGTTTTATATCTGATTTTAGTTTAGTTCTAACTTAAAATATTCTGTGCTTCATGTGGAATCCTCCCTGGATATACAAACATATGTAACAATACTAACATATTCATAAATATAGCCACAGCTTTACCTGCACTGGCTGGCACGGCCCCAATCGGGGTACAGAGTCCCCTTGATGCTTCTTCATCTGAGCAGCTACAAAAGGGATTGATAGTAAAAGTTAGTATACATTTATACACATAGGATTAAAACTAGAGGGTGCAAAATCTGATGCACATCTGCATAGAAACCAATCCAAAATACAATATAGTGTAGCGCTATATAATAATAAAACTAAATAACAAAACTAATAAGTGCGAAGATCCTACATGGATCTTTAAGTGAATATTAGTGACAAAGTGAAAAAAACTCTACATGTGAAAATATAAATCTCCACAGTCCCTCTAACACTTGAGGGATCACAAACTCATAAATCCAATGGTGCACATAAATATGTGAATCCCTTGATAGGGAGAAGATACTATGTATAGGTGATCAGTGCCACACACTTAACCACATAAATAAAAATCCTCATTAAAAAATATTAAATAAATCATGACCACACAAATAAATGAACAGTATTGCAAAAGTCTAAAAACTTCACAAATAAGATCGTGCTCCAATTTCAAAATCATGCAGGTGATGTGTAAACGTGGTCATAACACAGGTGCAAATCCTCCAGTGGCCAAAATGCCCCCTCACTTCCTTACAGTGACCATATGGGCCAGCTCGCTTTTAGGATCACACCACGATCCTCACAGGTATTAATCGTCACAGGTCAATCCCCTCACTTGATATCAATAGTGGCACTCGCTCCTCTCCTTAAGGTCTCCTCCAGCCACTGGTATCAGTAGTACCGCTCACTCTCCAGATAGGCTCATAATAATAAAGCATACAGATCCTCCATAGCGTAAACTTGCTTATTTAAGCCAAAATACCACAATAAAAAAAATTCCCACTCACATGTACAATGTTAAATATTCGCTTTTCACCACACACTATAGGTGTACTTGCATGGGTAGAAAAGGTGCACCAAGATGGCGCCCACGCCGGAAATTACATCACCGCGTACCGGAAGTTCCTCCCCAGGTACCAACACGTTGAGTCACGCTACCACGTGATTTCATCAGGGTATCAACCTCTAGTACGCGGTGACGTAATTTCCCGGCGTGGGCGTCATCTTGGTGCACCTTTTCTACCCATGCAAGTACACCCATAGTGTGTGGTGAAAAGCAAATATTTAACATTGTACATGTGAGTGGGCATTTTTTTATTGTGGTATTTTGGCTTAAATAAACAAGTTTACACTACGGAGGATCTTTATGCTTTATTATTATGAGCCTATTTGGAGAGTGAGCGGTACTACTGATACCAGTGGCTGGAGGAGACCTTAAGGAGAGGAGTGAGTGCCACTATCAATAGTGCCACTATTGATGCTATCGAGTGAGGGGACTGACCTGTGACGATTAATACCTGCGAGGATCGTGGTGTGATCCTAAAAGCGAGCTGGCATGTGTGGTCACTGTAAGGAGGTGAGGGGGCATTTTGGCCACTGGAGGATTTGCACCTGTGTTGTGACCACGTTTACACATCACCTGCATGATTTTGAAATTGGAGCAGGATCTTACGTGTGAAGTTTTTGGACTTTTGAAATACTGTTCATCATTTCTTTGTGTGTTCATGATTTATTTAATATTTTTTAATAAGGATTTTTATTTATGTGGTTAAGTGTGTGGCACTGATCACCTATACATAGTATCTTATCCCTATCAAGGGATTCACATATTTATTTGCACCATTGGATTTCTGAGTTTGTGATCCCTCAAGTGTTAGAGGGACTGTGGAGATTTATATTTTCACATGTATAGAGTTTTTTTCACTTTGTCACTAATATTCACTTAAAGATCCATGTAGGATCTTAGCACTTATTAATTTCGTTATTCATTTTATTATTATATAGCGCTACACTATATTGTATTTTGTTTAGTCACCTATATCTTGGTTTTAGGTTTAAGTGTCAGCAGGTTAGGGAGATCCTTATATGAGCAGGAGGACCCAATACCATTAATAGAAACCAATCCGCTTCCTTTTTCTTTTTTTTTGTCAAAGCTTGATTGAACAAGCTGAGGCTAGAAGCAGTTTGGCTACCATGCACAGCTGCACCAGATTTTGCACTCTCCTGTTTTAGTAAATCAACCCCATTGCCTTGAGAAGCAGCAAATCCCAACCAATCCCAGCTTTTCTACCTTCCCGCGGTCACTCCGGGAGTGCCTTCCCCTCCCTCATTCTGGGTGTCGGGATTGAAGGGGCCAGACATCTTTTCGCTATTGTTTGTTGGAATAGGAGCTGAAGGTAAAAATCCAGGAACTGAATTGGGAGGAAGAGGAGAAGGAAAGTTTGTTAGAGAAAAATAAGTTTTTTTTTTTTTTTTTAAAGTAGGAGCTGCAAAAGCAGTCATGCTGCCTTCACTACTGCACAGCAGATGCTAGCTGGCCACACATGACAATGTGATTGTACAATCTACCAAAACCATTTAGTTCAAGGGTCTGCCTGATTCGCTACAGGACTGTTAAGACAGGCCCTTTATTCTATAGTTCTGGTAGATATCATGGAGATTTTCTAAACATTTTACAAATCAGTCTAATGTGCATGGCCAGCTTAAAAAGAAGAGAAGCATAAATTAAAGGATAAGTACACCTTTGGGAACAGGTTACATGTTCTATCAGCTTTTAGGGTGAAACACCCATCACGTTCCTGATCCCGCAGCCACTCCCTGCTGCCACCCCTCCCTGTGACAGAAGTATGGGGAGAAGTTCCCCGTGCTAGCTGTCAGATTTCAAAAACAGTGCGGACGAGCAGGGCTCCACCCACACGGCGGCATCAATCATTCACAGTGTTCAGTGAATGAATGGACTACAAATCCCGACAGCCTTAGCGACTGTTGGCTTGTAGTTGTCAATGAATTACCACAGCGCTGTGAGCACCGTGGTAGTTCATTGAGACTTCAGCAAGTATGGGTTTGCCCACCCAGGATGTACAAGCAAGCAGATACACTGACAGTGTGCAGAAGACCTGCATGGCATCAGCGATCTACTGATCACTAGTGCATTGCTTTACAGGCTCATAACACAAAAAAAAAAATAACACATGCACTTTTTTTACCTGAAAAAAAAAAGTGCATTTATTATTTTTTGTGGAAAGATGAACTTATCCTTTAAGTGACATAGTTAGTCTGGCTGAAAAAAAGACAAAAGTCCATCCAGTTCAACCATTAAGAAAAAAAAAAGTTATAATCCTATACACACACTGTATCCAGAGGAAGGCAAAAAAAAAACCCAGCAAAGTATTGTGTGAAGTTCATAAAAGGGAAGAAGATCATTTCATGTAGCCAAAGAAACAAAATGTTTCCTTTTTATTTCCCAATATTGTAAAGAGGGAATGCAAGTGAGAAATTTAATAGCTGCTATAGTCAACATAAACAACCCTTCTTTATTATATATACACACATTTTATATATATATATATATATACACATACACACATACATATATACATATATATATATATATATATACATACATACATACATATATACATACATACATACATATATATATACATACATACATACATATACATACATACATACACACACCAAAATCATTTTTAAAAGTTTGGCTAGAGCAGTGAAAGATTATAACCTCTCAAGTTTTTAATGGTGTCTGTGTCTCCACTATAGAGAGTCATCCCTCTCGATTTAACCTGCCTGCTATATCAGATGGTCAGTTAAAGTGGAACTATTGTTCTGCTGCTCTTGCCATAATATGAAAGTATAGAAAGAATACTCTGCCATTATGTTTGCCCACCTAGCACTAACCAATCAGAGCTGTCCCTTGCTGCTCTGTCTGCCACTGCAATCATTTCCTGACTTCTCCCGGGTTCTTTTCACTTCTCTTCTGTATTGGGTGGCCACTGATAATGGAACTCCTGGGCATGTCAGCAGTAGTTTCATCATCCCAGCACCCATCTCCAGTCTCATGGATCTTCCAGAATGGAAAGGGAGCGTACACTGCATGGTGTATGAAACAAAAGCAAAAAGGAGGCACACCATCCAAATGCTATAATCAGAGGACCTTTTATTAAAAAAACAAATTCTATAAAAAACACAAAAGGTATAGGATAGAACGCATGTAGCACAGTCCAGACCGTTCCAACGCAGTAATCGTGTCCACCCACAGGGATGTTGTTTACATGTTTCAAGGGTCAGGCCCTCTTCATCAGAGCTTACCATAACTTTGTGAGTACATTGGAATTTGTTTTTCTAATACAAAGTCTTATGATAATGCACTAGGCTAGTGTGCCTCCTTTTGGCTTTTGTTTCAGTTTGTCTCTCTCCGACCTGAAGTGGGCAGCAAGGCCAAGTCTAGGCTCTCTTTGGTGACTGTCTTATATTGGCTTCCACAAGAAAGAAGAGGAGCTGTTCCTGGGCCAATATTTAGACCTGTAGCACTGAGGGTCTCTTCAACTGTAGAGAATCTCCTCCTCCTCCCCCTCAATGCCCACTGGGGTTAGATGGCCATAAAGACTTTTCAAATGTAGATAGTCTAAAACAGTGGTCTCCACCCTGTGGCCCGGGGACCACATGTGGCCCTTTGCTTGGGGCACCATTTCATCTACGGATACCAACAATTGGGTATAATTCCCCCCACTTACACCTATGAAGGAGGCACAACTCCTTCCAAATGACACAAACGATGGGGCACAATTCCTCCCAATGACACTATTGATAGGGTCCAATGACATCAATGATGGGGCACAATGCCTCCCAGTGACACAAATGGTAGGGTCCAATGACATCATTTTTCCACTGAATTGGGACCTTTTCTACTCCCACTGGCTGCAGTCCACGCCAAAAAGTCTGGAGGACAGTAAACTGGCCCTTTGTTTAGAAAGTTTGGAGACCCCTGGTGTAAAGGCAACCAGCTTCTGCTGTACTCAGAGACTTTATAACGCTCTGGGACACAAATGTTTATTTGGGAAATCAAGATTTTATATAAAGTAATTACACAAGATACAGTATCAGTTCAAATGTTCTAAACTTAAACCAAAAACAAGGAGGAGCAGAAAATGACCACTCACTTGTAGAGCAGAGTTCTGTTTCCAGGTCATCCGGACAGGCGCACACAAAATCATAACTTCGGGCAAAGCACAGGTGGGAACAGCCGCCATTATTAACTGCACAAGGATTGCTACCTGCAAAGTAGATCGAGAGTTCCAGATATAGCAAGAGACGTTCTCTAATTAGTCCTGATGAAAATCTCAGGAAATAAATAACAGCCCAATATACCAGATACAAAAGAGAAGAATAAAAAAGGAACCTATTTATTATTACCCGACTGCCGCATAGGAGATACAACAATGATGTCCATCAGCCCTTCCATATTGCCCAATATGGTTTCCTGGCTCCTCCCAGAGTATTTGTCCACTCTCTGAATAGACTTGGTTTGCCAATCTGTCCAATATATCCAGCGACCTTCCTGTTAAAAACAAGATCATTGGCTCAATAAAAATGAAGTTGGCAAATTCATTTTTCATACACATTGTGCTGGCAGAAAGATGATCCCTTCAATGAGTGGTCTAACGTGTTCAATAATGTAACTGAACCGTAATTTGGTTCAATACTTCATTCACCATTATCAAATCACAATTCTGTAAAGCTGAACTCCAAGCAGTTAATAAAAAAAGGTACTAATGAATACATATGTATTTAAAAATAGGTAAAGTGATTATAAAGTCTCAAGGTTTTTTAACTTCATGCATTGTTTGTGAAGGTGAAAAACCTGTGTATAGCAGCAGCCCCTCCTAACACTTACCCAAGCCCCCTCTTGATCCAGCCATGTCCACAAGAGCCTCGGTTCTCTGGGGACTCTCACTCCTGATTGGCTGAGGCAGCAGCGGGGGCCATTGGCTCCCGCTGTTGTCAATCACAGCAAGTGAGCCAGTCCAGAAAGGAAGGAGGGGCAAGGCTGAGCAGCGGCTCTGTGTGTGAATGGACACACAGAGCCGCGGCTTGGGAGCACACCTGCTTAGGTGCTCCTATAGGATCCAGGCTGCTCTGTGCAAAACCACTGCATAGAGCAGGTAAGTATGACCAAAAAAAAAAACCCCACAAGACTTTAGTCCCACTTTAAATGTATTTTAACTGAAAGCAGTATAAATACATGAGTTAGGCTTTATGTTAGCCCATTTGTAATCCCCTGTATAGCAGCACTCAGACTGAGAAAAGAAAGGGTAGTGCTTGGGGCCAATCAGATGTGCTGCATCCACATGTGCTCACAAAGAATATGCTGACAGGAGGATAGAGCAGAGAGTTGACTTCATCAGTCTGTTGCTGCTCCTTCTCTGTTCAATCACAGGCTGGGGGCAGGGAGATGAACAAATGTAGTGTTACATTCACATGTGCTTGCAAGGAAAATGCTAACGGGAGGAGTAGAGAGATGACCTCACCAGTCTACTGCTGCTCCTACACTTTCCAATCACAAGCTGGAGGCAGAGAGGTGCCTAAGCTGTATTGCTACAGTCCGATGTGCTCCTAAGAAGTTTGCCGACAGAAGGAGAGAGCAGAAAGATGACCTCATCCATCTGCTATTACTTCTTTACTGTCCAATCACAGGCTGAGGGACAGGGAGCTGTATTCCTTAACTGCAGTGGGGAAAAATCAGGTCACCAGAATGGCTGTATTGTCTGGCTCACGAATACGTTTTTCCAACTGTGTACTTAACTGGTTTCCTGAAGTTAAGCTACAGAAAATAAAGACTGTGCCTATTTTATGTAGATTTATAGATAAAACAATTACCCAGAATTCTCACCTGTGTGAGAGCGAAGGGGTGAGAGACTTGACTAACGAGTATTTGACGGGTTCTACCATTCAGGTCGGCATTTTCTATGCGGTCCAAGTGAGCGTCTACCCAGTAGATCCTGTGGGAAGACAGGACAACAATCGTGTTTTATAGAAATAAAAATGAAAGTCACTCAGTACAAACACACAAACACATACATGTGTGCTCACTGACCTGCGAGTGTCATAGTCTAATGTCAAGCCATTGGGCCACCCAAGATCTGTATTAATGATGACCTTTCGATCAGAACCATCTAAGTGTGCCCTCTCAATTTTGGCTACGTGGCCCCAGTCTGTCCAGAACAGGTAACTGTAAAGAGAACGCAATTAGGGACTGTTGCTACCAGGCCTGCATTTGAGTTCAGTTTGAGATGCTTTGAGAAAAATCAAAAAGTTTACTGATGGGTACATATAAAATATGCATTTAACCCCCTGCTGAACTGTCATTGACCTACTAAGTTGCATCAAGCAGCCCAACAGGGTATTTATTTCTTCCAAGTCTATACAAAACTAAAGAAAAAATATTCAATTGTAGTTAGAAGAACCAGGAGGTATCAGTACGATACAATAATCTTTGGTTGAGAGCCAATAATACACCTAATCCAGACTAGTTTGTCATAATGGGCACAACCATCAGGAAATAGAACATGTCTTGCCAAATTTAGGAATTTTGCTCTTACCCTTTCCTTGGAAACACTGCAATGGCGCGAGGCTCATCCAGACTGTTATTAATGAGCACCTTACGGTATCTCCCATCCAACCGAGACACCTCGATAGTGTTTGCCCCAGTGTCCGTCCAGTACAGATTCCTGGCTACCCAGTCTACTGCCAGCCCATCTGTGGTCTTCAGTCCTTCACCAATGATCGTCTCAATACCCGTACCATCGAGGTTTACCCTCCTAAAAAGGCATCATAAGTTTTCAGCAAAGAAAGAAAAACTCAACCTGTTTTTTTATTCAATTTATCAAGCAGTAAATCTTCAAGAAAAAAAGTGTCATAAAAGGATTGGCGTAAACGTTCACAAATATCAATACAAAGTATCTGTACAGATGTGAGATTTTAGCCTAAAGGAGGCTCATCATTGCCAGCTCTTACATTTCCCTGGGATTACTTGACAGAAAGGTGGCTGTGTGTAGGAACACCCTAACATTTGTATTTTAAAATCTGAACTCCAGGCCAGGGGAGGGCTGACCATTTGGACACGAGGGCCCGGGGTCAGTAGGGGGCCCCATGAGATGCCCCCGGGACCTTTTTTCATAGGCTTTTTTGAGTTTGGGCAAGAACACAGGGGCCCCATGAGTTGTCAGTCCGCCCCTGCTCCAGGCAGATCTAAAAGACACACATAACTGAAGCTCTTTATTCCTTAAAGTGGTTCTAAAGCCTTAAGCTTTTCCACATTAATGCACTAACGTGAAAAACTTTCTGTGCTGCAGCTCCCCCCCATCCCCCACCCTTTTTCTTACCTGAGTCCGATCCGATCCAGCGATGTGCACAAGAACTGCAGCTGTAGCCACCGTCTCCCTCCTCACTGGGCAGATTCATGGCAGCGGGAGCATATCCACTCTGTGTCAATGGATGCAGACGGTAGCTCGGGAGCAAGCACGCATGGGTGCCCCCGCAGAAAGGGGATTTCCGTGTGGGCACCTGCCAAAGAGGGGGGGCTAGGAGCACTAGCGGGGGACCCCAGAAGCGAAGGATTGGGGCTGCTCTGTTCTAAACTACTGCATAAAGCAGGTAAGTATAACAGGTTTGTTATTTTAATTACAAAAAAAAAAAAAGTTTAAAATTACTTTAACATATCATTAAAAGTATTTTTTTAATGCAACATAAGCGCAAGTACATGAATCTGACAAATCAGCTTTTTAATCCTCTGTCCAGCAGCAATCAGACTGGGAGAGGGAAGAGCAGCACTAGGAACCAATCAGGTGTGCTGAATGTAAAACTGCTTAAAAGGACAAGTTTACTTTGGAACATGTCAGAACTACCACGTCATTCATTTACAGGGACCTGTGAATTAATAAAATACAAGTCCCATCTGCCACTGCAGCAGATGGACCTTTAGTTTAAACAGGTTGAAAGCACGCTTATCAGCGTCCTCAAAGCCCACTGACACCTCCTGCAGCTTTGAAACCTACAACCCCCTACAGAGCCAAAACCTACAACCCCCTACAGAGCCGAAACCTACAACCCCCTACAGAGCCGAAACCTACAACCCCCTACAGAGCCGAAACCTACAACCCCCTACAGAGCTGAAACTTGCAACCCTACAAAAGGTACGGGCACAGAGCTGTGGGCAGTGTCTGCAGGAGCCTGACATTGCCCCCGCTAGGCTGACATGGCACTCCTACCAGTCTGAGTACTGTTAGAGGAATACAAGAAACTAATATAAAAGATATTCAGGTACTTAATATAGTTGCATTGAAGGAAACATTTCATTGTAAAACAGTTTAATTCATTACTGAATTTGTTTTTTTAACCCCCTCATTGACTAATCAGCCGCACACCTGATCACATCCAGGAAAACATCCGTGTAGTAGATTTGGCTTTCCACACTGTCGTAGTCCAAAGAGATTACATTGTTGAGCTCCTTAATGGGCACATAGACATCTGTGTAGTCATCTGTATCCAGGGATATCCTGCGAATGGAGTCACGACTGGAGAACAGCAGATAGGTGTCAGGAGACGGGTCACAAGTCCTGCCATCCTCCTTCAGCAGGATGCCGGTGGGACAGGCACAGGAGTAACTGACGGGGTTCGGCAGGCACAGATGAGAGCAGCAGCCGCCATTATTGTTACCACACTTGTTGAATCCTATCGGGCAGAAGAAAGGAAGTTCAAAGCATTTCCAGAAGACTGCATTCATACATAAAGATATAACTATTAAGGGACAGCTAAAATTCAAAGATTATAGCCTCCTTCTAAAGAGAGTAGACTGGTAATTACCAAATGTGTCCGAACCCAGTTCTACGTTATTCCCCTTTCTTTTCTTATGTTGCTTCTTTTATTAATGATTTTTTTTTTTTTTTTTTTTTTAACACAACCTAGCAAAGCTACTGTAGATTACTTAAAAATTTGCAATACAGAATAGTTTCATATATGAGCTGTAACCCACCTATCTTCACGCATTTTTATAAAAAAAAAAAAAAAAGACCTAGATAGAGGACATTGTATATTAATCTCCACTCTAATAGAAAGTCATAGGAAGGATTTTTGCTACTCTAACACTTCATAAAACCTTCAATAAAAGGATAATGGATCTATAAAATGCAACTGTAATTAAAATGATAAAAACTACAGTGAGACCCAACAAATATGTATACCAATCCTATGGAGGCAGGAGTTTCCCCTGCTATTTAGCGTATGGCTTTCTAAAATAAACAAGATCAGACATATGGAAGACCCAACACCCCCTCTCAAACTGGATAGAGCTCACAGGTTCTTATGAATATATATTCTAAGGGTTGAACTCCGAGGCCCCAATTGAGATCCCATGTCCTCCTAACCCAGCACATACGATGTCTCTGGTCTTCCTTACCTATTCTTTCCTTCACCCTTCTCTTTCTTGCCCTACTCGCTCCCTGGACAGTCCGCTTTCTCACTTTTGTAGTTTACTACTGACTACCTGGTTGGTTAGATAGATAATGAGAAAACTCTAGCAAGGGTGGTATCTAATCTTTTGTACTAGTATTAACATAGACATTAAATGAAAGAAGCATGGCTACGGGTGAAATGATGATTTTTTTTTAGATTTGCTGTGAATAGCAAATAATGTGGAATGAGAGAACATTTCCCATATGTTCTACCTCCACACACACTTAAAATATATATGGGTACATTCAAAAAAGATAACTACAACATTTTACAGGCTAGTTTTTTTTTTTTTTTTTAAATCGGCCAGATCACCAAGTGCTACAAAAGGTCTACTTGAACAGATAAACTTTGAATATAGTTGGGAAAGGTTACATTTGTCAGATTATAAAGCAATTATATGGGCAGATTTAAATGGACATTTAGGCACTAATGGTTAGAAGTGATTCTAGACTGCACAAGTAGTACCTACCAAGGGCATGAGTCCTATCCACAGCCTGAATGTCCATAAGGCCGGGCAGGTTGTCTCTGACCACTATGACATTTGCTCCAGTGTCTTTGTCCGCCCTCTGAATTTTGCGTGTCTGCCAGTCGGTCCAATATATGTGTGCGCCGAGAAGGGTCAGACCATACGGATGCTGCACAGGTGACACCAAGATCCGCCTGTTTCTTCCCATAAGATCAGAGGCCTCTATTCTCTACAGAGGAAAGGACAAAATTCAAAAATAGAGACAAAAAAAAAATATAAAAGCAGAGCAGATATGGAGATGTTCTATTAGGTGCATCCATACTCCGATCAGAAAAGATAAAAATGCACAAAAACATAGGAGAGTCAAAGCAAAGGACATCAAACATGAAAAACTAAGTGTCAAACTAGTTATAAAAACACATAAAAAGGAAAACGTGAGGCAGAACAGTACCCAATCATCTGCTGAGCTCCCACAAAAGGTAAAAGGGTGTTTTCCCCATTCATAAGCCAAACATGCTCTTCCACAAACCAAAGACAAATGGGTTGGAGAGTGCAAAATCTGGTGCGGCTGTGCATGATAGCCAGCCAGCTTCTAATTTCAGGATGTTCAATTAGGCTTTGACAAAAAAAAAAAAAAAAAAAAACCTGGAACCTGATTGGCATCTATGCAGAGCTGCACCAGATTTTGCACTCTCCAGTTTTAGTAAATCTCCGCCAATGTGTACATTTATTGCCAACATTACCTCTGTATGCGCGTCTGCCCACAAGAGCTGAGAACCTGCTTTATCCACCGCCAGTCCATTGGGCCAACCAAGGTTCATGTTTATCAGAACTTTACGGTCGGAGCCATCCATTCCCGCCCTTTCAAGCTTGGCATTCTCTCCCCAGTCCGACCAGTACATGCATCTAAAGAAAGAAACCATTTAAGTCTGGCTGTTTCTGCTTTTCACCTGTCGTTTAGAAGAGGTAGCCAAGAACAGGTAAACTATGTACTTTGCTACTTCAGTAATGAACATTTTCATATGTTGTGTTTGAGATCCAACTATGTTCTTTTTAAGTCCCACTTGGCCAGCATGTTACCATGGTAGCATAAGGGAGTTAGGTTGTAGAAGCCTTAGGAGAGACCTAAAGACCACCAGAAAACTAAAGGAAGTGATGCTGGTTGGGCTACTAGCTTTTCCAGTTTTTTTCTCTGAATCTCTCATCTTTCCCAGTTGCCAAGATCCTCATTGCCAAAATCCAACAGGCACTTCCAAGCACTGTCCCAGTAATAAGGGGTGGACTGACCAGTTGGAAACTCAGGCACTGCCCGAGGGCCCAGGGTCAGTAGGGGGCCCCATGAGATGCTCCTGGTACCTTTTTCATAGGCGTTGAGTTTGGGCAAGGACACGGGCCCCATGATCCCCTATTGCCCGGGGGCCCCATGTGTTGTCAGTCCGCCCCTGGACCCAAGAAGTATAGATCAAAATTTAAAACAAATAAGAACAATGCCTTCCCTCCAATTCCTCTTCCTTTGCAGTACTAACATGACATATGCCCTTTGATGATTAAATTGGAAAGATACCATTTCACCTACATCCATTAGTATTCATTATTGCTCACCCCATCTCGTGATAAAGAGCAATCGCTCGTGGGCTTCCTAAATTCTGCCACACCAGAACCTTCCTCATGGAGCCATCCAAATTCCCCACTTCGATTCGATTGGTCCCAGTGTCTGTCCAATATTTTTTGCGACCAATTGCATCCACTGCCAAACCATCGGTGGTCACCAAGCCTGTAATAATGCAACACAAGCATAAAATAGTTCATATAGTCTTACAACACAGGAAAGCTGCATAATTAAATAGAGTAATTTCAAGTGTTTGATCACCTGTGGTTATTACATCCTGGTAATTGGAGCCATCCAGACCTGCTCTGCTAATTTTCCGAAGGGTACTGTCAGCCCAATACACCAAACCTGAAAGGGGAAAAAGAAAAAACACATACATGAGATGCAGTAATCATTCCCAGAATATTCATGAATTGTTTAAGTTCCGGATGAGCGAGATTCCTTCAAATTTGAACTCCAGTTATGCTGCGCTTGGAAATTCATGTTGTAGTGCCCCCTATACTTACCTTTTTTCCTCATTATAGCAGGCTTCCTCCACCCCGTATGACTGGACCTCCAAAACAACTTTTATTTTCCACTCAACCAGCCACAGCTCTGCAAAGTCATCACATACAATGCATTGTATGTGAGGACATTGAAGGCCTGTCCACATTCTAGGAACGTTGGAGAGCAAATAATTGAACTGGCTGTCTGGGGAGCAAGGAAGGGGGTAAGTATCTCACTGAATGAGCAATTGGACGTGGGTTAGGGAATGCAGGATCTTGTAGATCCTTAATACCTGGAGGACTGAAGGTCAGCCATACCTACTCAGAAACAAGTAGCCAGTTACATTTACCCTTACTCACCCTTTAAGGAATCCACACTGACTGCTATGGTGTTCTTCATGGTCAGATTGATGGGGACAACTACATCTGCAAAGTATGGGATATCCAAAGACACTGAGCGGATATCAGTCCTTCGGGCAAAAATAAGAAAGCGGTCCATTCCTAGGTGTGGAGGACAAAACAGAGAAGAAGGGTCACAACCCTGAACAGGCTGAAAAATATAATTCCAAAATGACAAAATGGACTGAACATACCTGAAGAACAGGTCCTGCCATCGCCAAGCAGATTGACCCCAGTAGGGCAAGCACAGCTATGGCCTTTTGGGTGGGGAGAAAGAAGGCAAATGTGGCTGCACTCTCCATTATTGACGGAACAGGCAGATTTAACTGTGGAAAGAAGACAAGAGTGACCTTCTGATGCTGCACAAAAGTGAATATGTTCTGTTACTACATAGCTATGTACTCACAACTAGACAAACCAAGGTTGCACATGAGCATCAGCAGTAAGGTGAACTGAACTCACACCGTTCTCAACAAGCAAACAAAATAATTTCACTCACATATTACTTATTCTAGCATCAATATTATATACAGAAAGCATTTAAAAGACTTGAGAGGACACTAGGCCACCATAGAACCAGCTGTAAAGTGAACAATCATCCACAGGAAAATTTCAGTATGAGCTTCACTCAACTACTTTCATTTAAAATGTTGTGTTTGACTCAGGTAGCAACTGTAGAGTTTGCAGAAGTTTCATACCTTGCGGCCGTCGTCTGTGAAAGACATGAAGATCCATCAGGTTTTCCAGGTTCTCTCGCACAGGCTTGCGGTCAAGTCCGGTTTTCCGATCTGCACTCTCAATGCTTTTCGACTGCCAGTCTGTCCAATAAATACGATCTTCATACAAGGTCAGACCAAAGGGGTGGGGTAGGTCTGTACCGATTAGCACCTAGAAGATCCCAGTAACTAGTGAGGTTTGGTCTTGTCCCTGACCTGTATATAGAACTGAAAAACAATGTTGTGCTGTGGCATCTTACCATTCGGTCAGCACCATCAAGCTTGGCAGTTTCTATGGTTTTCATGCCAGCATCAGCCCAGTACAGCCTCTCTAATTCATAATCAATAGCTAAGCCATTGGGCCAAGTGAGATTGGAGGAGATGATGACCATCCGTCCAGAAGCATCCATGCCAGCGCGTTCTATCTTTGGATTTGCACCCCAGTCTGTCCAGTACATGAATCTGGAAAAGAGCTTGTATCTTATAATCCAAAAACTAAGGAGGAAGAACACAACTCTCTGGTTTTACAGGCAACACACAGAGATGGGAGCAGAAATCCCAAAACTATTCTCACCCTCCTACAGGATCCACGACAATGTCCCTAGGCCGGTCCAGGTTCTCCCAAATCAGCACACTGCGCATGGAACCATCCGTGTTGGAAACTTCAATCCGGTCGGTCCCTAAAGAAAAAACACAGAAGAGCAACAAATTATAAAATATGTAAAATATAGAAGAAGATATTGGATGGTTGATCAGCATTCCAATTTTACATAACTACACAAAAACACAGCTACATTTCCTACTGGCAGGACTTCAGTCTCAGTACATTATCTGCAAGTACAGAAAACAACCCATTGAACTTGAAAGAAATCCAATATCATCAGCCGTTCCAGTTCTCTTCAGTACTATAGGACACCTTCCCCTTATGTTATACAGAACTGAGGGGTGGCGTTTGTACTTAGGAGAGCAAGTATCCTAGAGTGGGGCTTTATTAACCAAAGAGAAGCAATGAGGAGCAAGATGCCCTTTAGAGCATTGAATATTGTTCTCTGACCTACTAAACCTGTATAGGGCCGACAGTAAATAACTATAGGAAAGTATAAGGTTTGTAGTAATCCATCAGTTACATTCCGATGGCCTCGAATAGGATTTTGAAAATTGACAGCTAGTATCTTGTTAGTTTCTCTGAGTAACACTTTTGCTGAATGGTCATAAATCAGATTTGAAGAGGCCATTAACCCTTCGTTCAACAACCACCTTTCCAGAAGCTTAAATGAGCATTTAATACATTTTATGCATGCTAGTGCCCAGACTTTTCTGAGGCAGTCAAATTTGCTAGCAAGTTCAGAGAACATTGTGAGGCAATAAAGATAGTTTATGGAAAGGAAAAAAAAAAAAAAAGAATTTAAAAAAGATACCCAATATAATAGAGGTTATCCCAAGAAATTCGATAAAAGTAAAATGGCTTGACAATGATTCTACTGCATTGATGTCTAATACCCCTTGAGAAAGTAATTATACCTTTTAGGGTTTAGTATCTCTCGGTGAGGTGGGGAAGGCCGAAGCTGTGGGTCTCCATTGGGAATCATAAGCTTCTCCTTGTAATTATGTTATGGTTGCGATAGATAACACACACACACTGGGTTTTGTCTTTGATTATATTTTATCTCTAACCAGTTTGACTACGGCTCCCGCCCATTGGTTTGGCCACCACCAGCCCCCGTGTGGGCATTTTGTTGTACTATTTAAAATGTTCATAAAACAGAATTTTAAAAAATGCATGATTTTTCTGTGTTTTTACCTGCAATTTCTTTCTTTTTTTTTTTTAAATAGTGACAGGCTCTCTTTCATGAGCTACACTGTAGCCATCAGTATGCCCCATGCAGTGTTCAAAAGTATTGAGCACTAAGTACATTACCTGCATCTGTCCAGTATATCTTCTTTGTAACCCAGTCTATAGCCAGTCCTGCAGGACTCTCCAAGCTGGTATCAATGATGACCTAGTGACAAAAAAAGAAAAAAAAAAAAAAAAAAAAAAAGACACCTATTTTATTACATATAAAAGTTCTGCATGTTTACACTTAGCTTTTTTTTCCCTAGATTTCTCACAATTGTAGGACAGCTTGCAGAATTTGTTATGTTTACCTGTTATAAAATCAGTCAGATCGCGTACCTACAATTGAACTCTATGCATCTTAACTGGAGTAAACCCAGTCTGTTGTTACAGCTGTTAGGAGGCATGCCTCCCCATGTCTGTACAGCTCTTCTCAATCAAAAGCGCAAAAACCACATCTAGCTTTTGGTTATTGGTCTGCAAAATTTCACAGACCAGTAGTCTATTACAGTGACCTTTAGAATACCTAGCCTTGGAGAGATGCGTGACATGGGAAAAGAGAGAGAGAGAAAAAGAAGAGAGGGGGGGGGGGAAGAAAAAGAGAGACGGGGGGGGGGGAAGAAAAAGAGGGGGGGAGAAAAAAAGAGAGACGAGAGGGGGGGAAGAAAAAGAGAGAGGGGGGGGGAAGAAAAAGAGAGGGGGGAAGAAAAAGAGAGAGAGGGGGGAAGAAAAAGAGAGAGGGGGGGGAAGAAAAAGAGAGGGGGGGAAGAAAAAGAGAGAGGGGGGGGAACGAAAAAGAGAGAGGGGGGGGAAGAAAAAGAGAGAGGGGGGGGGAAGAAAAAGAGAGGGGGGAAGCGAAAAAGAGAGAGAGGGGGGAAGAAAAAGAGAGGGGGGGGAAGAAAAAGAGAGAGGGGGGGGGAAGAAAAAGAGAGGGGGGGGGAAGAAAAAGAGAGAGGGGGGGGGGAAGAAAAAGAGAGGGGGGGGAAGAAAAAGAGAGAGGGGGGAAGAAAAAGAAGAGAGGGGGGGGAAGAAAAAGAGAGAGGGGGGAAGAAAAAGAAAAAGAGAGGGGGGGGGGGAAGAAAAAGAGAGGGGGGAAGAAAAAAGAGAGAGGGGGGAAGAAAAAGAGAGAGGGGGGAAGAAAAAGAGAGAGGGGGGAAGAAAAAGAGAGGGGGGGGAAGAAAAAGAGAGGGGGGGAGAAAAAGAGAGAGGGGGGAGAAAATGAGAGAGAGAGAGGGGGGAAGAAAAAAGAGAGAGAGAGGGGGGGAGAAAAAGAGAGAGAGGGGGGGAGAAAAAGAGAGAGAGGGGGGGGAAAGGAAGAAAAAAGAGGAGAGAGGGGGGGAAGAAAAGAGAGAGAGGGGGGGAAGAAAAAGAGAGAGAGGGGGGGAAGAAAAAGAGAGAGGGGGGGAAGAAAAAAGAGAGAGAGGGGGGGAAGAAAAAAGAGAGAGAGGGGGGGAAGAAAAAGAGAGGGGGGGAAGAAAAAGAGAGGGGGGGGAAGAAAAAGAGAGAGAGGGGGGGAGAAAAAGAGAGAGGGGGGAAAAAAGAGAGAGAGGGGGGGAAGAAAAAGAGAGAGAGGGGGGGAAGAAAAAAGAGAGAGAGGGGGGGGGAAGAAAAAAAGAGAGAGAGGGGGAAGAAAAAGAGAGAGGGGGGGAAGAAAAAGAGAGAGAGAGGGGGGAGAGAAAAAAAGAGGAGGGGGGGAAGAAAAAGAGAGAGAGGGGGGAAGAAAAAGAGAGAGAGAGGGGGGAAGAAAAAGAGAGAGGGGGGGGGAAGAAAAAGAGAGAGAGGGGGGGAAGAAAAAGAGAGAGAGGGGGGGAAGAAAAGAGAGAGGGGGGGGGGAAGAAAAAGAGAGAGAGGGGGAAAAGGAAGAAAAAGAGAGGGGGGAAAAGGAAGAAAAAGAGAGGGGAGAAAAGGAAAAAAAGAGAGGGAAAAGAAAAAGAGGGAAAGGAAGAAAAAAGAGAGAGGGGGGAAGGAAGAAAAAGAGAGGGAAGAAAGGAATAAAAGAGAGAGAGGGGGGGGAAAAGGAAGAAAAGAGAGGGGGGGGGGAGAAAAAGAGAGGGGGGGGGAAGAAAGAGAGAGGGGGGGGAAGAAAAAGAGAGGGGGGGGAAGAAAAAGAGAGGGGGGGAAGAAAAAGAGAGGGGGGGAAGAAAAAGAGGGGGGGAAAAGAGAGGGAAAAGAAAGAAAAAGAGAGAGAGGGGGGGAAGAAAAAGAGAGAGAGGGGGGAAAAGGAAGAAAAAGAGGGCAAAAAAGAAAAGAGAGGGCAAAAAGAAAGAAGAAAACCAACGGTGCTCCATATAATTGAAAATGCTGGCAACTTTATTACTCTGGACCAAAAACAGACAGAGTGCCTGTCTAGGACCTCCTCCTTGGTTCTAATGTGCTTCACCCATAAGACTTAGTTTAGTCAATTAAACCTAGTTTTGTGGATGAAACGCGTCAGTAGGAGGAGGCTCCTTGTCCATTTGTCTGGAGTAACAAAGTTGACAGCGTTGAATCAGGGTGCCACCAGATTTTTTTTTTTTTTTTCGATGTGGTTGGCGCATGGGGCACATAATAAGCCCCGCCCCCGGCCTGAGCTCTGGCAATCGGTATCCTCGGAAGATGACCCAGTTATAGGCCTGAGAGCAGTGCACCTCACTTTCTGGTAAACATTTTGACCAAAAAGGGTGTACAAGGCATCTTATCTATTTTTATTGCCCTTAACAGAACAAAAACTACAGTGTGAGAGAACTGAAACTTCTGCACGGTTAGAAATAACCCAGAATCGGTCTTGCAAAAGGTGGAAATTAGAGTAAGAAAAAAAAAAAAAAAAAAAGGGTCAGGTTAAATATCATTAAGCTACAACATGATTTGTGTTGGTTGGGAGACTATTTTATTGTTCAGCCATTCTCTTACCTCCTGCCCACTGCCATCTGATTTTGCACGGTTGATGGAGTCTGTGGTGGTGTCGCTCCAATACATATAGTCGTCAGCAGAATCCCAATCCAGTGCCACAGCACTACGAACATTGGACAATGGGATGACAAAATCGGAGAGGTCACTGGTGTCAAAGCTAATCCTTCGGATGTCCGTCCTTCGAGCAAAAAGCAGGAACTTGTCAAGACCTGATCGAAGGTCAAAGGTCATCATCTTAATTCTTTCGGGTTCAAAATGGCACAAAGAGTAATTGCAGGAGTTTTTTTTTTTCTTTAATAGGAAGGGGGTCATTACAATAATTACTGGCTGCTCTCCATTCGCTTACCTATACAGTATATCATGGAGCTAAACAGTAAGTCAATCGTTTAAAAATAGTTTTAAATACAGTAACTTTTGTATTGCCCTCTAGCAAACCATTACATTCAATGTCCCATTCTACAACTGTCATCCCCCAAAGTGAAAATGAATATGACTCTATTTTTAGATAACACGGGTTGTTCTTTCATCCAGCAATTAATTATACAGCCTTTATAAAAAAAAAAAGAAAAAAAAGAAAAAAAAAGTGGGTGCTGCCCAACACAGCCAATTCATATCCAACTGTCATCTTCCTTTTCAAATTTGCACTTGACAAGTAGAATCTCAATTGTCTGCTATGGGCAAGGCCCACCTCAAACAGCTTTGCAAATGGCCAGTTTAAACATCTAACAAATTCTCTTTCCAACTGTTCATACACTGTGGTCAAACAGAATTTTGTTGGCACGTCACATAAATCAATACTTCTCAAATGCCGCCAGTTTATAACAACATACATCACATCACAACCCACACACACACGCGCGCGCTTTCCCCACCCGTTAAAACAATGGCACTTACTCAAGGCACAGGTCTTGGGCCCAGTCTTACTACGGAAACCAGTTGGGCAAGCACAAGTAAATGTGTTACCACTAGGAAGGCAAAGGTGGGAACAGCCCCCATTATCAGTGCCACATCTGTTTTTACCTGATGGAAAATAAACAAAAAAAAGAAGAGTAAGCCAACAGCTGCCAAATAACAAGACATGATTTTCATGGTATAGATTACATTCAATGTCATTACATTCAATTTTGTATCTACAGAGCATCAATGAGGTTTTCTCCTGTCCACCTCTGCCCCAAACTATGGACAATGAAATAGATAAATGTATAAAACAAGCCATCACAGACCTCCCTATCGGCATGTACAGTGAAGTAATTCATCCTCAAAAATCTTCAGTGATTAACCACTCGCCCTCGGAAGATTTACCCCACTTAATGACCAGGCCATTTTTTGCTATTGGGCACTGCGCCATTTCAACTGGTAATTGCGCAATGCAGCAATACTGTACCCAAACAAAATGAATGTCCTTTTTTTTCACACAAATAGAGCTTTCTTTTGGGGTATTTGATCACACACTGGGTTTTTTATTTTTTTGTGATAAATGATAAAAAAGACTGAAAATTGTGAAAAATAACTATTTTCAACTTTCTGTTATAAAAATATCCAGTAAACTCAAAAAGTTAGGCATAAATTTAAGCCAAAATGTATTCTGCTACATGTCTTTGGTAAAAAAAAAATACCAATATTTGTGTACCAATTGGTTTGTGTGAAAGTTATAACGTCTACAAATTGTGGAATAGATACTGGAATTTCAACAGCTTTTACTTTGACATTTGACAATTCTTGAGCTGCTAAAATGCCAGGACAGTACAAAAAACCCCTCAAAATGACCCCTTTTTGGAAAGTAGACACCAAGGAATTTGCTGAGAGGCATGTTGGGTCCATGGAAGATTTTATTTTTTTCCACAAATTTTTGAAAAATGATAATTGAAAATTTTTTTTGTACTCAAAGTTGTCACTTAAATGATATATGGCTCATGCATGCCATGGGTATATGGGAAAATACCCCCAAAACACATTCTGATACTTCTCCAGAGTAGGAGGATACCACATGTGAGAGACTTTTTGGTAGCCTGGCTAAATACAGGTCCCGAAAATCCAATGACCAGGATAGTACAAACACCTCCCAAATTACCCCTTTTTGGAAAGTAGACAACACAAGGAATTTGATAAGAGCATGTTGAGTATGTTGCAAGATAGACATTTTTTGTCACAGGGTTTTGAAGAAAAGGAAAAAAAATACATTTGTTTTGTTTTCCAAAAACTTTCGGCAATAACACGAGATCTTCAAAATACCATGCCTCTTAGCAAATATACATTGGAGTGCCTACTTTCCAAAAAGGGGTAATTTGGGGAAGGGGGGGTTGCTTCCACTATCCTGGTATTTCAGGGAAAACATTACCCACTCTTCTAACCACTTGAAGACCAAGCCTTTTCTGACACTTTTTGTTTACATGAAAAAATTTTTTTTTTTTTTTGCTAGAAAATTACATTGAAGCCACAAACATGGTATACTTTTTTTTTAAAGTAGAGTCCAGAGAGACTAAAGAGGTTGAGCGCGTTCGCTCAAATTCTCTCTCAGAAATTCAAAGTATTTGTGAAGTGATTTTTCAAATGCAATTTGTTTGGAAAAACTACACTTTTTTAGAATTTTTAATGAACAAAAACCACAATATATTGCCCAGTTGTTTGATAAAATATAAAAGGTGATGTTATGCCGAGTAACTGGATACCAATGCACATGCACACCTGGAAATTGCATTGCAGGAACAAAAAAAAAAAAAAAAAAAGCTATTGCTCCTAAAATGTAATGTTTGCTTTGAACGGTCACATGGTACAGGATGCTGTGATTGGTCTCATGTACCATGTGATATCTGTGGGTCAATCACAGCTCTCCAGGAAGAGAAGCAAAGCTGTTATGAATCAGATTGATACACATATATATATATATATTATATATATACACAATCTATATACATATACACATATACATTACAAAACCCACCACCATCCTCTGTGCAGCTTATGAGAATCCATGATATGTACACGTTCAAAGAAAGAATCGTTATGGTGCCACCTCACCTGCTGGCTGCCTCTGTGGATGCAGGGTGTGGATATCCATAGGAAAATGCAGTTTGCTCCGTATCACCTCTTGGTTTTTTCCAGTGAATTTGTTAGCACTGTTTATGCTTTTGGGTATGCCAGTCGGTCCAATACAGGCTGTCCTCAAAAACAGTGATTGCAAAGGGGTGTGGGAGACCTGTTGGGACAGAGAAGCAAGGAGAGAGTGAGTCGTTTAGAAGATGTAAAATGTGCAAGGCAATAGAAAAAAAAAAAAAAAAAAAAAAAAAAAGTAAGGAACCTCTTCTCTAAAACCCAGAACAAAAATGTAGCTATTCTCCTGGAGCAGCTGACAAGTTATTGGCTGCTATTTTCAACTGAAAATTGGATAATAAGCCAAGTGTCTAAACAATTGCATCCACCATCACAGACTTGTCTTTCCTCCGGTTTCACTATGTGAGGCTGATTTATCATTTTGTAAATTCAGCTTACCTTGGCTGATCACAGCCTTGCGATTAGATCCATCCAGATTGGGCTCTCTCAATAACATGGTGTTTGGCATCCACCCAGTACATTCGTCTTCCAGCATAGTCAATAGTCAGTCCATTGGGCCAAAAGAGATGCGTATCTGCAATGACGCGTCTGTTGGAACCGTCCATGCTAGAATATTCAATACGTGGTGTATTACCCCAATCTGTCCAGTAGATGGTGCTAGAGATTAAGACAAAAAAATTAATATTCATTCCTTTATAGTATGACAACATTTTAAAAGCCCTTATAGGGCCCATGAATCAGGTGAGGACACTGGATGCACTACATCCCCCAAAGAATGTCAAAGTACACGGAGCAAGTGTATTACACCCACTGCCGCTGCTCTCCCCCTTGCCTTGCAGGGCATCCCCTTACTAAAAATGAAAGCAAGAGGAGTATAACTACAACAGCTAAAGAACCTGCTAATGTCAACTCACGGACCATCCAACACAGTACTTCTAAATACTGTACAGACCAGAGCTAGAGAAATACAAAGTAACACTGGTATTTTGTAGTCAGTTTCATTCATCTGCAGATCAAAGGGGGTGAGCTTCAATCTGCATGTGATGCCAGTTAAGACAACCTGACAGGCTTAAAAACACAAAAACAACACACACACACACACACACACACACACACACAAAACACACACACACAAAACACACACACACACAAACCAAAAACACAAAAAGAAACCCATTTTATTAAAAAAAAGTTTTTGTTTTAACTCCTTTATTACCCTTAATCAGGTCATAGACGAGTCAAAAATCAAATGAAAATTCTTATTGATCGTCAGGTTTTCACATCATTAATGTGGCAGCTGCGACAACAGTACCTGATCCAATGACATTTTTGTTTTTCAATTGACTAAACGTTCGGTTTTTGACTCATCTATGGCCTGCGTTAGTTTTCTCTAATCAGCCCTAATTAACCATTTTCTTCCCCTTCTCCCTTTCTCCCTTTAACTATTACTTGCCTACTTTTTGTTTCAATCTGATTTATCAACGGTTAATATTTAAACCATTTAAACCAATTTGCTTGGTTATTTTTTTAGTGTTGCATTTAACCTCATTTGCCCCCCCCCCCCCCATCTTTTTTTTTTTCTTTTTCTGCTTTCTATCTCTTTCTTTTTCTCTACTATAGTGTATAAAGAAAAATCTGTCATGCTCAGGATTCTAAGAGTTAGTTTCGCAGTGGACTTCCCTCTTTGACCACCTAGTTTTGACTCTGCACACACTACGTGGGGGGGGGGCGGGTATGTTGCTCTCTATGTATAGCTAGCTCAGTATTTACTTTTTAAATGTACCACTGATGTTCTGTTTATCTGATTTGGTTGGTGAAGCCACATTTTCATGTCATTTCATTGTTACGGTTGCATACCTCGAAATTAAAAAAAAAAAAAAAAAAAAAAAATGCAAAATGTAAAAAAAGGAGAGAGTGGTTTGTCCCAATATTATACAATTTTGGTAAAGCTAAACGAGAGTTGAACATATAAAAAATATATATCCACCTGCGCTCCACAGACTCCTTATATATATAGCTAGCTGCTATCATCTACACCCTATACCGGGTGTCTGCAACCCGCGGCTCTTTTTCACCTTGGCTGCGGCTCCGGAGCACACTGCCCACCAGGTGACAGGCAATAGGGCAGCAATGGGCAAACTACGGCCCGGCGGACCTTTTAATCTGGCCCGCGGAGCTAGGCTCCCGCTAGGCTCCTCTCACAGTCCGCCCTGAAGACCGGTGTAGCATGAAAATCTGTCTCCTATGAGGATCTGTCCCCCTCTACGTATTTGCGCATGTGCCGGAGATCGCCGATCGGCTGCTAATGCCTGAAACTGGCACATGCGCAGATACGTCGAGGGGGACAGATCCTCATAGGAGACAGATTTTCATGCTACACCGGAACGGCGCGGGAACACGGCGAGAGGAACGTGCGGAGCAAAGGTAAGTGAATTGACACAGGGGGGATTTAATATGGGGGATGAATTACTATAGGGGGGATGAATTACTATATGGGGGGATGAATTACTATGGGGGATGAATTACTATATGGGGGATGAATTACTATATGGGGGATGTATTTTCAGTTTTAAAAATGTGGGCTCTCAAAATAAATTTCAATCGTGGTTTTGGCGAGATTTGGCTCAGTTGAAAAAAAAGGTTGCCCACCACTGACCTAAGGCTATGATTGTGATTATGACGATACACTGTGGCCCTGATTAACCCTTTGCTTACTGGGCCCTTAAACCCCCTTCATGACCAGAGCGCTTTTTGCAATATATGCAGTGTCGGATTTGTTTTAAATGTTGCAATGGTTTTGCGGCTCCCAGTCTTTTTTTCCCTCTCGGAAACGGGTCCAAGTGGCTCTTTATGTCTTAAGGTTGCAGACCCCTGCCCTATACCATGGGACACAAATTAAATATCAAGATATTGGATGAAGCGCTCTGCTATAATAATGCTAAAAACAAAATTTTATACACAAATGTAAAAGTGACTAATACTTAAATAATATATGTGCTAAAATTATATAAAAAAAATTCATATAAGACCAGTCTGCCCCCAAGTGGCTAAAACTGGTTATACATGTGCACACACAGCAAAAATAGAAAGTGACCAGGTGCTTGGGTACATAAATAGTGTCTTAATAAATACAAAAGGTTTTAAAATCACAGTGAATACTCATAAAAAGTGCCAAGTGTTTAAATAACAATAAATATACATATAATATAATCATGTGCAAAAAAACATGCTATCACTCTTCTGTGAAGAAATATATATATATATAGAAGTGCTTTTTCATTCAAATAGTGCTCAGACCAAAGTGTCACTTCAGTGAATCAATCCTAAATATCCAGAGTGCCTCCTCACCTCCAACATTCGACCCCTAGAGGTCACAAATCATTTATTTAAATGATGTTCCAAAAAACCGACATCAGGATATAACTTGCCCCACGATTCAAAATCTCAATATATACGATGCCTCAGCCATATGTCCATGGACCATGGAAGATTTAAGCACAAAGAGATCTCCATAGCGCAATATGTAGTTTTATTATAAAGAAAAAAGCAGATAGAAAACTCACATGTTCTTAGAAGTGTACAAGCAGTTTCCCCATATCCTATGGGTGTAATAGGAAATCGTGTTTGCCGAAAACCGGAAATACGTCACCGGAAGTGCATCACCGAGCTCCACCCGGAAATGACGTCAATGAGCTCCACGCGTTACACCACTGTCACGTGGCTTCACTGTCACGTGATCCTGAATGAAGCCACGTGACAGTGGTGTAACGCGTGGAGCTCATTGACGTCATTTCCGGGTGGAGCTCGGTGATGCACTTCCGGTGACGTATTTCCGGTTTTCGGCAAACACGATTTCCTATTACACCCATAGGATATGGGGAAACTGCTTGTACACTTCTAAGAACATGTGAGTTTTCTATCTGCTTTTTTTCTTTATAATAAAACTACATATTGCGCTATGGAGATCTCTCTTTGTGCTTAAATCTTCCATGGTCCATGGACATATGGCTGAGGCATCGTATATATTGAGATTTTGAATCGTGGGGCAAGTTATATCCTGATGTCGGTTTTTTGGAACATCCTTTAAATAAATGATTTGTGACCTCTAGGGGTCGAATGTTGGAGGTGAGGAGGCACTCTGGATATTTAGGATTGATTCACTGGAGTGACACTTTGGTCTGAGCACTATTTGAATGAAAAAGCACTTCTATATATATATATTTTCTTCACAGAAGAGTGATAGCATGTTTTTTGCACATGATTATATTATATGTATATTTATTGTTATTTAAACACTTGGCACTTTTTATGAGTATTCACTGTGATTTTAAAACCTTTTGTATTTATTAAGACACTATTTATGTACCCAAGCACCTGGTCACTTTCTATTTTTGCTGTGTGTGCACATGTATAACCAGTTTTAGCCACTTGGGGGCAGACTGGTCTTATATGAATTTTTTTATATAATTTTAGCACATATATTATTTAAGTATTAGTCACTTTTACATTTGTGTATAAAAATTTTGTTTTTTAGCATTATTATAGCAGAGCGCTTCATCCAATATCTTGATATTTAATTGAGAGTTGAACATAAATCGTACAATAAGATGTATAATGCAGCCGCTCTCAACCTTTTGAACACTATGTTCACACCTAAGCAGCTGTGCGGGCCACGTTTTGCTCGGGCATGAGAGCCCATTCATTTGAATGGACTCCCGTGCCCGTGACACGCAGGAAAAGAAGTCCCTGCACTTCTTTGGAAAACGCAGCCCGCACGGGAACCTCGGTTCCCAGTACGGTTGCGTTTCCAAGTGCAAGCAGCGTGCCATTAGAACTAATGGCACTCGCCCGAGGGTCCACAATTCTCTGTGCGGGTGGTGCGGCTGCGCGGATTTTCTTGCCGATCCGCAGTGGCACCACCCGCATAGATGTGAACCTAGGGTGAGGAACCCTCTCTTTCATGTTCCTTTGTCCTTCCAGAACAAAACATACCCTTCCATTGGGTTTAGTGCTATAGCTCGTGGCTTCTCCAGGTTCTCCCACAGAATTACTTTGCGATGGGACCCGTCTAGATTTGATACTTCAATACGAGATGTGCCAGAGTCTGTCCAGAAGAGCTTATCATGGATCCAATCAATAGCCAGACCACCTGGACAAGAAAAGGAAGACCAATGAATTCAGCAATATTTTTCCTAAGGCTAAACGCTCAAGTCACAAAGCTGCAATATGGAGTTACTGCTGCCTGGTTGATATTTTCAGCTTGTATTGTTGTTTTGGCAAACTTCAAGTGTTATAGTTTATAAAATTAAACCCTCTGTTTTTAGGCACTTTCAGCAGCTGATTTTAATCAATCACTTACTGACTATGCAGCTTCTTTATCTAATCCCTGCCTATGTTCTGGTTTAATCTGCTGCCATGATCACTGCCCCAGGTTTATGGGTTCAGGGTGGCTCCTTTCTCTTGCAGCACCTATGGAGTCACTCTTGCATACAGGGACTAGAATTGCATCTCTCTATACTGTGTGCTTTAAACACACAGCCCTGTAGCCTAGGAGGAAAAAAGGCATTCCGTTCCTGCTCCCGCCCCCTTCCCCAAGCTATCAGACTGACTGGAGACTGCACTGTCCACTGTAAAGTCTTTCCTTTTAAAGACCAAAAGACCAGAAGTTCAGCAAAGCTGCACTAAGAGAGCAGGGGCCAACAGGATTGAAAGTTGTAAACTACAAGTGCTGGGGTAAGAATTTTAACAAACAGTTGACTGGGGAATGTTTATTGTATTGTGCTCACTGTCTTAAACCAAACAACTGTGAGCATTTAAAGAAAAATGTCAACCCAACATTCCATATTCATATGTGCTTGCTGTACCTTGTACTTGTATGAAAAAGTATCCTGTTCTCTTTGTATTGCTTTGTGTGAAATCCCAGGCGTTCCTGATGGCCTCTCTGCTTTCCTATTAAAAACTGACCACACAAAGCAGGAAAACACAGCTAGTCAGTTTTCTGGCTGATTAGACTTGAGCTGAACCAACTTCCCCCCCTACTGCAGAGGCAATCACTGGGAAGACCATTGTACTGCTATTTCTCCACCTCTACCATTTTAAGCTCTTTATGCAGCTGATAACAGAGGGTATGCGGTCACTCGAAAGGAAAAAAAAAAAAAAAAAATTATATATATATATATATATTTATTTTGCCTTTCATTTCTACTTTATATTGACTGGGTTGTTTTACAAGGTGAAGGTTGACAGATACATTGATACTACTTTAAGCATTTTTATTGTTCGGTAAGCCAATTCAGCCTAGAGAAGGAGCCTGCTTGTTAGAAGCACTGCCCGGTAAGACGAAGTCACTTCAATATTTGCAAATTGGAAAGGCGCACCATGACCCCATATCCATGGAGTAGGCGTCTCTGAAAGGGCTTCCTTTACTTGCATGGAGTGACTGGAAAGCAAGGTAGCCTCCAAATCAACACCCACCTCCCAAATCAGACCAAGGTCAATTCTTACAGGGCTTAGGGCGTTCTGTCCACCAAGTCACCAAGTAGTGCGACATTCATCTACAGGGAAGTGGGATCCATACAAGAAAAGCAGATAAGGAGAGGATGAAAATCCCCTTCCATCATACTCTGGATGCCGGCAACACTAGCAATAGAAAACCTCCAACAGACCAGAGGAAAGATACCACCAACAGACTCTAGTGTTTGCTCTCCCTTCTAGCAGGGCCCAGCAAGCTGATGGAGGTGGCAACGGTCATTTTAATCGTCTCATTGTGCCGAAGAAATATTCTATCCATCTCTCACTTCTTAATCCAACACACCTGGACTCTCCAGACCCGTAGACACCACCTCTTCCACATTGCTGCCGTTCAGGTTGGCGCTCATAATACGGTCCAGAGTAACGTCCGACCAGAACACCAGCTCATGGCGATGGTGAAAATCCAAAGCGATGGCATTTTCCAAGTTATTGAGAAGCAGCGTGTATTCTGAGCGATGAGGCAGAACCTGGCGAATATCAATCCTATTGGCAAACAACAGAACCGGTTCTGGTCCTAGGGAAGAAAGCATATTACAAGTTGCATAATAATATGGTATGATTCAGTGATAGCACAGAAATGCAGTAGGAGAGTAACAGAGCAAACTATTTTTCCCCTAATGGGATTTTAATAAAATGACTAACAAAATGTGACATGTATGCCTTTAAAATACAACTTTTTTTTTTATAAAAACCATACATACAGTACGGCTTACCAAAAAAAATCATGCCAACAAAAGCAATATAGCACAACTGTCATACATAAAATCAAATCATAATCATTTATATGATTTATGTATAACAGTTGTGCTATATTGCTTTTGTTGGCATGATTTTTTTGTAAGCCATATGTATGGGGTTATGAAATAAATGTTCATTATATGTTGTGACATGTATGCCTTTAAAGTCTCATTAGTGGAAGAATAGTTTGTTGTATTCACAGTGTAGGGATGCGGCATGGTTTGGAGTGTACCCACGATTGATTATAGGACAGAAAGTAAGATGTGAACCTTACCCAAGGCCTTGCAGCTGCGCTTGTCTGGTCGTAGTTGGTACCCGCTCTCACAAAAGCACTGGAAGCCTCCTTCTATGTTGCTGCATCCCTGACTGCAATATCCCTCCTCTGCACACTCATTGACATCTGGGTGAAGGAGAATCACAGTTACAAAAGTGTCACATTTATGTCCTCTGTCAGACAACTCACTAACTGGGCACCAAAGGTCCCAGTACAAAAAAAATTGCAGGATGTGGTCTTTGAAAAAGAAAAAAAAAAAAAACACCAATAACGGGGTCCCGTGACACCAATGATGGGTCACAGTCCTCCCACTGACACAAACTATGGGGTGCTCTTCCTTCCTCTGACACCAAAGATGGAGCATTGTCTATTCCAACTGACATCAGGACCTCTTCTACTCCCAATAGCCAAAGTCCGGCCCTCTAAAATCCGAAGGACAATAAACTGGCCCTTTCTTTAGAAAGCTTAACCACTTCCAGTCCGGGCACTTTTACCCCCTTCCTGACAGGGCAATTTTCAGCGCTATCGCACTTTGAATGACAATTGCGCAGTCATGCAACACTGTACCCAAATGAATTTTTTTACCATTTTTTGAGACAGATAAAGCTTTATTTTGGTGGTATTTATTCACCGCTGGGATTTTAATTTTTTTTTGCTATGAAAAAGTCCAAAAATTTAGAAAAAAAAAGTGTTTTTTTATAAAATTTTGTAAATAAATAATATTTCATCATAAATCTTTGCCAAAATGTATTCCGTTATCTTTTTAGTAAAAAAAAAAAAAAATTAATCCAAATTAGTTTATAACCAAAAATTATAATTTTTAAACATTTTTTTTTACATTTTTATTTTTTTTTTTTTATATTTTTTATTTATTTTTACATACTGTCACCCTAGCAGTACAGTGTCACCATAGCTCTAGAGTCTGTACTCTCTTCCTCCAGCTCCCAGTCTATAAAGGGGTACAGACTACTCTAGTTACAGAGCTGAAGGAGACATCAATGGACTACAAGCGCAATGACATCACCACACTTGTGCTACAGTCCCTCTGATTCAGATTCCTGCAAAAAAAAAAAAAAAAAAAGACTGCAAAAGCACCCTCTCCTTTTAATGTTAAAAATGAATGCAGATTATCTGTACATTTGGAAAAGGTGCACCCCAGTTCCATTCACCTTGGCATGACCGTCCATCTTCCATGAGCCTGTATCCTGTCTGACACGTGCACTGTACCAGGCCCCGCACTGTCTGGCATTTCTGGGCGCAGCCCCCATTGTTGTGGTTGCAGTTCTCTTCTCCGGTGCGCGGCCCTGTGGAAAGACATTATAACAAGGTTGGCTCACAGACAAGACAATACAAGAAGCAATGGCACTCGCTGTGCAGAATCCATAAAGCCTGCACCTTCAGTGTTGAACATGGAAATCTGACTGGCTGCTATGGGTTACTAAACATCATGGATTTTAGCACTAATAAAGATACGGTCACTGTGCCCAATTAGGGTAAAGGACAACCCTTCACCTACTGATTTTTTCAGCATGCTCCATCCCAGCCTTCAGGAAACATCAATAGTACTTCAGAGAACGGGAAATCATGTGACCCCCCCCCCCCCCCCCCCCCCCCCCCAACCCATCCTTCCAGCATGCAGCAGTGTTCAGACCTTAGCACCCAATAGCCAGGTTTTAATTTTTTTATGTTTAGGGAGGAGACGGTCATAAACCCAGAGCTTACACGGGTTTTGGGGTGTCAGGGGGGTCACACAGGAAAGTAAGTATCATGGCGGGGGGGGATGATCACAATACTACAAGTGAAGAATGGCGTGTTGGGGGTTGCACAGGAAAGGAACGTATCATTGGGGCAGATGAAGGGGTGCCCCTTCACCTCCTCCACCCTCTCTGTATGACCTGTATGCGCTGTATCTGGTGCACCATTACCAAGCTCCATATTTTAACCCCTTCAATACCAGCATGTTTCTTCATTTCCAAAAACCTGTGGCAAAAGAGAAGATCACTTTGGGTTGTCTACTTTCCAAACGGGTATTTTTGGGAGTGATACTTGGCATTTCAATTTTAACAGAAAGTAAGGGAAACTTTTGGGTTTTTTTTTGCCTTTTTCTCCAGTTAAAAAGAAAAAAATAAATTACAGCGGTTATTAATACCACCAAAAGCAATATCTGTCTCAACAAATTGTATAAAATTTATTTGAATACAGTGTTGTATGTCTAATTGTAAGTTACACTATCACAGCACTGAAAACTGGCCTGGTAAAAAAAAAAAAAAAAAAAAAAAAAAGTATTACAGGCTTGTAGTCAAGTGGTTGGAGAATTTGTCATGTCTATGAATGGGCAATGTAAAAAAGCAGCCTCCTTAACTCTTGGTTGACATCTGTGCAGGTGGTGCCGCTAAAAGACCCGCAAAAATATCTGCAGCCGCACCACCCACAGAGGAATGCGAGACCCGCAGGTGGTTGCCATTAATTGTAATGGCACGCCGCCCGCACTGGAGATCACAACCATACTGGGAATCTCTGTTCCCGTGCGAGCTGCAATTTCCCAAGTAGTGCAGGGACTTCTTCCCTGCATGTCCCGGGGCATGGGAGTCCATTCAAATGAATAGGCTCTCATGGCTGCACAAATTGTGGCCCGCACATACATGAAGCAGGGGTAAAGAATGCCTAATGCAACAGCACCACTGTGCTTTTTAAATGCACCAGAATAAAATAATTTTCATCCACGTAGCTGTGATAAGGCCATACCACTACATTATCATTTGGCCCATTTGTTCATATGGAAAAATCAGGGGACAGCTGTACATAGCATAGTATAGAAATACTAACTGCAGTTTTGGTGTGGGCTCTCATCACTGCCCATCACCACAATCATTTACTCCATTGCACAGTTTCCTCTGTCCAATGCAGCGGCCATTACTGCACAAGAACTGGTCCTGAGCACACTGTGGGGTCCCTGTGATGGACGAGAAACAAAAAGAAATAATATGTAAAGATAACAGAACCCAAACAATAGCTGCTTAACATTTTAGGTTTTTTTTTTGTTTTTTTTTTTATACTCCAGACTCCGCCATCAGCCTAACCACTCCACCCTCACCTTCACATCATGCTTCTTAGATATTAGCTGGGTTTGGCCTGACCTTTCCCAGCTGCTGCTACTTCTAAAAACTGCTCACATTAGTTTTCTCCATCTGACCCAATCTTTCACCTTTTCCTTCTAATTCTGACCAGGCCCCATTCACATGGTCTGCCATGACCTCTCTCATTGACCTTCTACAACCCACTCCTCTCTTGCACCTTTGGGTCCCACAGAACTCCACAGAAGTCATGGTTTCCATGTACTGCCCCAATGATAACTGGAAATCCTCAAACAGCTGTATGCAGTTTGGACTAAAATGGCTCTAGAATATGAAGCTATATGTGCACTATACACCGGGGTTTCTGGGTGCGCATTTGACTGTTGGGGTGCAAAGGAAGAATTTGCACGGCAGCATCCATGGACATGAAACTAGGAATAATCCTCTGTTTTGGGATGTGTGATGGAATGAGACATATGAATACATTCTGTGTTCTAAGAAGCCTATACTGTGCTAGTAACATTTGATTCACGAACACTGCCCGCCTCAGTTTTTTCCTATACGCCTTCATTGTCTGTATGATGGATCTATCATTTTCTCCCCCTCAGTTTAACCGGATTCCTCATATTCTTACTATATGCTGGCCTTGAATACTTTCCTCCTGTGCTTAACCTAACCCCCCCCAGTCTCCGTATTCCGTGGCCTTGTACATTCTCCCCTACACACAAACAGGTCCTTTATAATTTTCATATTACAAGGCCTAGAAATTCTATGTCGAGTTTAACCCAATCCCATATATTCTTACAATGATCCAACCCTCTTCTGTTGAACTCCATCCCTTACATTCTTTGTATGACCATCCCTTGCTGTATTGTCCTCCTGGGTTAAACTCAATTGCTTACATTTTTAATATGACCCGGTCCTGTACATTTATCCCCTTCGGTTTCAAGGAGACCTGTACAGATAGAGATATGGGGGATAACACTACTTCCCAACTCCTGAAAATGCTAGTTGCCTGGTGGGCTCTGGTTTGGACATTCTCTGAACCACTTGCCAGAACAAGCATGCAACCAGTGAAGTTAGAGCCAAATGATCTGCATATTTGTTCTAGAAGAACAAGAAAATGCTAATTGCCTGAATGGTTTGCTGATTCTTTAGCTTCACTGTTTGAACAACTAGAAAATGGTATTAATTACTGTGCTCCAATACACTAGGCCACCTAGATTGTCTATCACCTTACCAAAGGGAATTGCTGCTCATAGCCTGTAATCCACCCATCTCTGGTTTCAGGTGCCAGACGATGGAGCTCATCATCAATGCCCCCACATGAATATATAGCAATGGATACATTAAGGGTAGGCATGCCTGTAGGAAGACCATTCCTTCATGTACCCATTGCTATATTATTACTATATATGCTCCTGCAAAGAGTCCCACAGATTAGAGCTAGGACCGCACTTTACAGAGAAGCCTTGACCAGGTAGTGTGGCTTCCACATACATTTGCAAATGTTTGAGTAATTTGGGTTTTCTGCTGGTTAGCTAGTAGGTGTGCTGGGAACACCTTTGCTTTATTTTAGCTAGGTTTCAAACTTTGGGTGGCAGTTCCCTTTGGGAAGGTAATACAGACAATGTAGGGATCTGCTGTAGTATAGCACATTAATGAGTACCATCCTGTGGCTATCCTTTGATTCAAATACAGTAAGACATGGGAAATGAAATAAAAAAGTAAATAAAGTAAATGGGGGGGGGGGGGGGGGGTGATGGGATTAGGGTAGGTAGAAAAGTGGCTGAGCGTTTTGTAGTCAAAAAGGACCGCCAGCCCCTAAAGGAATCCTTTTAGTCAGAGGCATTTGTGATTTCCTCAGGTTTTAGGTTGAGAAGTGCCTCACGGGGATTTTTGCAAAATTGTATTATTCAGCAAATTATGGAATGCATTATAGACATGATTATTTATTACAGGTACTTCTATAGCGCTGTCAAATTTATGCAGTGCTTTATTGTACATTCACATTTGTTCCCAACCCTCACGGGGCGTACAATCTAAGATCACTAACTCGCATACATACACATCCTAGGGCCAATTTAGACAGGATCCAATAAACCTACCAGCATGTCTTTGGAGTGTGTGAGGAAAACTGAGTACGCGGAGGAAACCCACGCAGGCGATATGCAAACTCCAGGCAGGTGGTGCCGTGGTTGGGATTTGAACCAATGACCCTTTTACTGTCAGGCGGAAGTGCTAACCATTTAGTCACTGTGCTGCCCCACAGTTCTTGTTTGTACATCTGGTGAACCTGCCCTAAACTACAAGTACCTGGCTCAAACAGACTCAAAAGCAACTGTGACCAGGAGTAAAGGGGCCACACAATTAGGCACCATATAGACATGGGAAATTCAATTGAATATACACTATATTGCCAAAAGTATTGGTCGGCCTGTCTTTACACACATGACCTTTAATGGAATCCCAGTCTTAGCCCGTAGGGTTCAATATTGAGTTGGCCCCGCCCTTTGCAGCTATAACAGTTTCAACTCTTCTGGGAAGGCCGTCCACAAGGTTTAGGACGGTGTCTATGGGAAGGTTTGACCATTCTTCCAGAAGCACATTTGTGAGGTCCGGCACTGATGTTGGACGAGAAGGCCTGGCTCACAGTCTCCGCTCTAATTCATCCCAAAGGTGTTCTATCAGGTTGAGGTCAGGACTCTGTGCAGGCCAGTCAAGTTCCTCCACCCCAAACTTGCTCATCCATGTCTTTATGGACCTTGCTTTGTGCACTGGTGCGTAGTCATGTTGGAACAGGAGGAGGCCATCTCCAAACTGTTCCCACAAAGTTGGGAGCATGAAATTGTCCAAAATGTCTTGGTATGCTGATGCCTTAAGAGTTCCCTTCACTGGAACTAGGGGGCCAAGCCCAACCCCTGAAAAGCAACCCCACACCATAATCCCCCCTCCACCAAACTTTATACTTGGCACAATGCAGTCAGGAAAGTACAGCTCTCCTGGCAACCGCCAAACCAAGACACGTCCATCAGATTGCCACAAAAAGACCAATTGGTCAATCCAGAGAACACGTCTGCACTGCTCTAGAGGCCAGTGGCGGCATGCTTTACACCACTGCATCTGGCGCTTTGCATTGCACTTGGTGATGTAAGGCTTGGATGCAGCTGCTTGGCCATGGAAACCCATTCCATGAAGCTCTCTGCGCACTGTTGTTCTAATCTGAAGGCCACACGAAGTTTGGTGGTCTTTAGCTATTGACTCTGCAGACAGTTGGAGACTTCTGCGCACTGTGCGCTTCAGCATGTGCTGACCCCGATCTGTCATTTTACGTGGCCTACCACTTGGTGGCTGAGTTGCTGTTCCCAGTTGCTTCCACTTTGTTATAATACCACTAACAGTTGACTGTGGAATATTTAGTAACAAGGAAATGTCACGGATGGACTTATTGCACAGGTGGCAACCTATCATGGGACCACGCTAGAATTCACTGAGCTCCTGAGAGCGACCCATTCTTTCACAAATGTTTGTAGAAGCAGTCTGCATGCCTAGGTGCTTGATTGTATACACCTGTGGCCATGGAGGTGATTGGAGCACCTGAATCCAATGATTTGGAGGGGGAGACCAATACTTTTGGCAAAATAATGTATGTTTCAGGAACTGATTTTGGTTGCATTAAAAACTGGCAATAAGCAATTTTGAAAAGACATGTCAGAAGTGGGCAGCCTCCATGGCGATCTCAGTATAGATTTCCTTTAACCCAGCCCCTTATATTCTCAGTATGACTTGGCCTTGCACATTCTCTGTTATAACCGATCCCTGGCACTGTTAATATAACCTGGCCTTGTACATTCTTTTCCACAGTATAACCTGATCTCTTACATTCTTAGTATGACCTGACCTTGTGTACTCTTCTCCGTTACTTCCTTGCCTTCTTACTCCCCCTACTCAGACAGTTCCTACTCACCAGTCTTCTCACATCCCTTCTCGTCACTGTTATCAGAGCAATCGTCCTCTCCATCACACCTCCAGGAGAGGCGCACACAACGGCCCGTACCGCAGCGGAACTGGTCTGCTGTGCACACTGAAGTTGCTGTGGGGATACAACACACAAGACGATCTTCCATTAGATACTAAAGCAATAAAATACAGATCTCTGATAGGTAGTCCGGTTAGGATCCATTATATATTGATGTAAACACTCTGAACACTCTACAGGATGGAAAGTTTTAAACATTTTCTACTATAAATGGCTGAAGAGGAAGGCCACTACTAGACATCACTGTCTACAGAGACAAAGGAAGGTCGCCCAACGTGTATGTACAATGGGGTGATAAAGGGTGCAATCACACTTGTGAATGCACTCTGCCTGCAGTTATATGGAAGAACCCCAGTGTGTCTTCCCACGATTAGCTGTGAGAGGAAGCCCTACTGAAAGCAATGGAAGGCTGCTAGCTCTTGCAGTCAATTTCGGCCAATGGCATGTAATCTGTCACCCTGCGATTACACGCAAGTGATCGGCCCTGGACGCATTCAGTGAATTTCAGCAGGAACCACTGGTCAGTTTAAGTGTAAAATCAATGGTCAGCTACCAGATGCTACAAAGTTAGTGGCTGATCAAGTCCACTTCAAGAGTTCCTATATACAGTGAATGTTTTGTAGCAGGGGATAATGTATATGTTTAATATTTTATCTTTTGAAATTTGCATAGCTATTCAACCAGTAAAACCGTCCATGCATTCAATCTGCTAACTGGGGCATATTTAAATGCTCTCAGGCTATTTGCTCTACAGGTTGAAAGTTATTAAAAGTGTTTACTAATGTCTGAATTTTTCTTTCAATTAAAATAAACATGGTATACTCATCACCCGTTCTGTGCAATGGTATTGCACAGATCAGCCCTGATCCTTCCCTTCTCAGGTCCCCTGCCGGCGATTTCGGCTCCTCCTCTTTGTGTGTCTCCATAGGAAGCGATTTGCTATGGGATACACGCTGCATGCATGGTCTCGACCTGTGTATCTAGGGAGCCACGCTCCATAGACATACACAGCGGGAAAAGCCCAGCCCCCCAATTCCTCTTCACTACATTTGATTGATAGCAGCAAGAGCCAATGGCTCCTGCTGCTGTTCGAGTCCCTGTGTGAAGAGGAAGATGGGGGAGAGGAGATGCAGCCAGACACAGAGCTGATCTTCTTCTTCCCTCTCTTCTTCAAACAGGGAAGGAGGGGAGCACAAACAAATACAAAACACTTTTACCCTAATGCAAGCAATGCATCAAAAAGGTAAAAAAAAAGTTTTCGTTTTAGTACTACTTTAATTTATAAAAAAAAAAAATGGCTTGGGAAAAATCCAACAATATAGCCAGTAGATGAAGCTAAGAATCATAGGAAATACGTATTTATTTCAACTCATCATCTAGTACAGGCTTTGAAATTTCCACTTGCCTGTTCGCCAATGGCGAGTGGAAATTATGGGTGGGGGCGAGTGTCCCCCAGGGCCGTCTTGCTGAGCAGGCTCGGAGCTCAGGCCGGATCTGTCATTGGCACTGGGAGCCGTCAGACTGCTCAATAGCTGAGCGCAGTGAAAGCAAAGGAAAGAGTGTGTGCTGTGCTCTCTGCCTCCCCCTAGAGTGCAGCACTCGGATCTGTGAGTGAAGGTAAGGAAGTACTGCAACTTTTTATAGGGGGGTGTGTGCATGTACATGTACATGTGTGTAGCTGTACATGTGTCTGCGTGTATGTGTGCATGTACATGTACGTGTGTCTGTATGTACATGTGTGTATATATGTACATGTGTGTGTGTGTGTACGTACGTACGTACATGTGACTGTATGTACGTACATGTGTCTGTATGTGTGTACATGTGTCTGTGCGTGTGTATTTCTGTGTATGCGTGTCTGTACGTGCCTGTGTGTGTATACATGTGTCTGTATGTGTATGTACATGTTTTTTTTTGTGTGTGTAGGTGTGTGTGTGTGTATGTACATGTCTGTGTGTTTGTTGGTGGCGAGTAACTCTAAGGCCTTGGCTAGTAGCTCAGGACCTGAAATTTTAAGGCCTGATCTAGTACCATATTACCCCATTAGCACAGTACAAAATGTGGATAGCTATTTATCCAGTGAAAGTGCTGGTACATTTGTAAATGAGGTCCAACAAACTGGACTTGAATTACTGTGCAGAAGTCTTCTTTATGGTACTTACTGCAGTTCCTTTCATCCGACTGGTCATCACAATCCGCATCTCCGTCACAGCGCCATCCAGAATTTATACACAGGCCGCTATTGCACATAAATTCTCCTGAACGGCATGGCTGATGCGATGCTAAGGTACAAATAAAAAAGGCAAATGGATGTTTCTGTAATATCATTAAGAAGAACTGCAAATAGGAAATGTGTGTAGTTGCGGCATAAACAGCAGAGAACATCCAGGCTCCGGGTGATAAGAACAGACAGCGGCAGCAGGTGACGGCTTGACTGAGGACCAGATCAGACAAGAGGTACAAAGAACCCGGAGGAAGCCGCAAAGAACTGATAACTAGGTGAGACAAAACGTATCGGCAGCACTTACAGCAATCAGATTCATCAGACCAGTCTCCGCAGTCATCGTCCCCATCGCAGTGATAGATATCCAGGATGCAGCGGCCATAGGCGCACTGGAACTCCTCTGCACTGCAGCTAGGAGCAGGAACGTCAGAAGCTAAAATAGAAACCAAACCAGGTTTATAAGCATTACTGGGAGCAGTCAAGTGCTATAACTTGCATCAACCAATTAGAATTCAGTTTACTGCAAGTCAAAATCTGGGATATGCAAATATTGTCAAAGTCATGTGTATTCTTACTCCTGTCTTGGTGTATTTCTCATAGATCTGTGCAATAATCCAGTGTGTAGGAGTTTCCTGATAGACCAGTCACTGCTGCTCTCTCTCCTTGTGCAGGGTGACTGGTCTTGTCTCCACCCCTCCTGTCATTTTCTGCAGGAAGTCTGCAATGGGTGAATCGGCTAGGCCCCTCCTACAGCTTTGCTCTCCGCACAGGCCATATACAGCACAGTGACCATGTCACTGCTACTTTTACAAAGCAATGTCTGGGTTTGCAAAAGCATTAGGTGCACACCTAGTGGATATCATTGGTGGCTATGGAGGAATATATTTAAATAAAAGCTTTGTATGCACAAAAATCAGCTTTAAAGTGGAACTGTAGGCTGTAAAATGTTTAAAATGTTGTTAGAAATTACGAGGCCTGTTTAAGCTTCTGCTATTTATAGGTAGAGGAGTGCACTGTGTGTACAGGTTTCCTGGAAGGGGAGTGGAACTTTGGTCTCTGCTGTAATGTTTCCAATGGTGGTGCTCCTGCCCCCTTGTCGTCAATGGTGGTGCTCCTGCCCCCTGTGTCAATGGTGGTGCTCCTGCCCCCTTTGTCAATGGTGGCGCTCCTGCCCCCGTTGTCAATGGTGGCGCTCCTGCCCCCGTTGTCAATGGTGGCGCTCCTGCCCCCGTTGTCAATGGTGGCGCTCCTGCCCCCGTTGTCAATGGTGGCGCTCCTGCCCCCGTTGTCAATGGTGGTGCTCCTGCCCCCGTTGTCAATGGTGGCGCTCCTGCCCCCGTTGTCAATGGTGGCGCTCCTGCCCCCGTTGTCAATGGTGGCGCCCCCCTGCCCCCGTTGTCAATGGTGGCGCCCCCCTGCCCCGTTGTCAATGGTGGCGCCCCCCTGCCCCCGTTGTCAATGGTGTCAATGGTGGCGCCCCTGCCCCGTTGTCAATGGTGGCGCCCCTGCCCCGTTGTCAATGGTGGCGCCCCTGCCCCGTTGTCAATGGTGGCGCCCCTGCCCCGTTGTCAATGGTGGCGCCCCTGCCCCGTTGTCAATGGTGGCGCCCCCTGCCCCGTTGTCAATGGTGGCGCCCCTGCCCCGTTGCCAATGGTGGCGCCCCTGCCCCGTTGCCAATGGTGGTGCCCCTGCCCCGTTGCCAATGGTGGTGCCCCTGCCCCGTTGTCAATGGTGGTGCCCCTGCCCCATTGTCAATGGTAGTGCTCCTACCCCATTGTCAGTGGTAGTACTGATAACCTATCTGCACTCACAGATACCTTGGCAACCAGGAAGGATCACAAGTCTTGTTGGGTTTTTACGGCTATCTGGGGCACTATTAGTGAGATTTTCTCCCACTTCCTGTTCTGCTGATAACCATTTCACAAGACAGAAAATTAGGGAAAATCTACAGGAGTAACAGAAAAAAAAAAAAAATCTGAAAGAGGCTGCAGCGTTCACCTACTCTACTAAAGAAAAGCATTTATTTTCTGTTGGAGAGTTACCTTCACTTCCCATCTAGAAAAAACATGGTTAGCACGACAGAAAGGGAAAACACAGACAAAAATGTTGAAAATCTCTTTAAAAGCAAAACTCCAGTTAATTTTTTTTTATTTTCCCATGTAGTGGGGCTGTGCCTGCTGTGCACAGGTTAACGGCGCATTTTGTCCAGGGGTGCACAGAAAGGCTATCCTTGCACAATCCTTCGATCCTCTGGAAAACAGCACACCCCTATGTTCAGCAGTGGACTGTTCCTGCAGTCCTCACTTCCAGAGCTTGTCTATGGGCATTATGACATCAGGAACAGTCCATTCACAAGACCTCTAGTGTACAGGGGGGGAATGACAGGTCTTGCTCTCGGAGGATCAGAGGACTAAGTAAGTATGTCTCCACTCTCCGAACCCCTAAAGAAAAATGAGCATTTAACCCATGCAATGTTTTTTTTTTTGCTCACATTTCTTCTCTAACCACTTGCCCTCCTGAGAATTTACCCCTTTTCCTGACCAGGCCATTTTTTTTTGCGATGTGGTACTGTGTTATTTTAACAATTGCACAGTCATGCAACGCTGCACTCAAATGAAATTTTATGTCATTTTTTTTCCCCACAAATAGATCTTTCTTTCGGTGGTATTCGATAACCTCTGTTTTTTTTTTTTGTGCTATAAAACAAACCACCATGACAATTTGGGGGAAAAAAAAAACCCCAAAAAAACAAAAAAAAATAAGTAAAAACACAAACTATATGTTTTTACTTTTTGCTATAAAACATATCCAGTAAAAAAAAAAAATTTAAAAGTAACATTTCTTCATAAATTTAGGCCAAAATGTATTCTGCTACATGTCTTTGCTAAAAAAAAAAAAAAAAAAAATCCCACTAAGTGTATATTAATTGTTTTTTTATTATTATTATACAGTATTTATAAAGCGCCAATAGTTCGCTCAGCGCTGTACATTACAAAGGGGGACAGAACATGTGACAGAACAATACCAATACAATGCAAAACATGAGGGATCGAGGGCCCTGCTCTTTCGAGCTTACAATCTAGGAGGGAGGGGATGGTGGTACAGGAGGAGATAGCTGTGGGGGACGGAGTGGTAGGAAGAGTGGAGGGGGTCGGCAAGTTAGCAGGGGGTGGGGTAGACTTCCCTGAAGAGATGGGTTTTCAGGGTGCACCTAAAGGAGAGGAGAGTAGGTGATAATCTGATGGGTTGGGGCAGGGAGTTCCAGAGGATGGGTGACACCCTGGAGAAGTCTTGGAGGCGGGCATGGGAGGAGGAGACCAGGGAACTAGAGAGAAGGAGGTCTTGTGAGGAGCGGAGTGTGCATGTTGGGCGGTACTTGGATATTAGGTCAGTGATGTAGTTCGGGGCAGTATGGTGGACAGCTTTGTACGTCAGTGTTAGGATTTTGAATTTGATCCGTTGCGCAATCGGAAGCCAGTGGAGGGATTGGCAGAGGGGGGTGGCGGAGAAATGGAGCAGTTGGAAAGGTGAATGAGTCTGGCAGCCGTATTCAGGATGGACTGAAGCGGGGATAGCCAGCGGCGAGGCAGGCCAGTGAGGAGGGAGTTGCAGTAGTCCAGTCGTGATATGATGAGGGAGTGGATGAGCTGTTTAGTGGTTTCTGGGGTTAGGAACGTGCAGATTTTGGCGATGTTGCGGAGGTGGAGTCTGCACAAGTTTGTTAAAGATTGGACTTGGGGCTGGAAGGATAGGTTGGAGTCCAGAATGACACCCAGTACTCTGGCCCTGCGGGTTTACATGAAGGTTACAGCATCTACAAATGGCGGTATATATACTGGGATATTAATTTGGCAAATTGGATGCTAGATATGGATCCTTATCTTCCATATTATTATTAGTGAGAACATCATTCTTTCTCTATGGCTTCAGAAGCTCTCTGAAAGTTAAAGTGGAACCTCACCCAAAAGCGGATATTCCGTTTTTCTTCCTCCTCCCCAATATTTGGAATTTTTATCTGGGAGGGGGCGAATACCTTGTTTTCAGAGGTACTTGCTTCTACTTCCGCTCAGGCTGCCTAGGCAATTGGAATGGAAATCTGCACCTCCCTCACACTCAGAGCCTCTTGGGACAAGTCACAGTTCTCAGGAGGCTGTGGGACCGTTCACAGGGCACAGCACAGCTTGCACATGCGCAGTGGGGATCCGGCTGTGATTCAGGATGCAGAGTCACAGCCGGCTTCCCACAGTTGACATGCTGGTGTCGGTGACCCAAACAGCGGTGAAGAGCCGGCCTGGGTGAGGGCGGTGCTGGATCCATGGACATGTGTTTTTTGTTTTTTAAAAAAGTCAGCAGCAACAGTAGCTGCTATTACATTTTTGTTTCCAGGGTGAAGAACGGCTTTAATTGCCATTCGATTTCTGGAATATTTGGATTTACTTACGACAATTTTCTTCATCCGATCCGTCCTTGCAGTCTGTGTCTCCATCACAAAACCAGTGTTCTGCAATACAGCTGCCATCAGAGCACCCAAACTCCTTCTCTGAGCATTTCCTCATATCTATGGGAAGAGATACAAGATACAAAGATTGGATCATATTATGACCTTCTAAACCAATGCAAGCACAGAGACAGGTGCAACAACAAATGGACAGAATTATAGCTCACATTTATGGAATTCAATTTTTTTTATCATCATCCATCATCATCCCTCACCATCCACCATCCATCCCAACCATCATCCCAACCACCATCCCACCATCCATCCATCAACCATCCATCCATCCATCAACCATCCATCCATCCATCAACCATCAACCATCCACCATCAACCATCCATCCACCATCACCCATCCATCCACCATCAATCCCATCCATCCACCATCAACCAACCATCCATCCACCATCATCCATCCATCCATCATCCTCCATCCATCATCCTCCATCCATCATCCTCCATCCATCATCCTCCATCCATCATCCTCCATCCATCATCCTCCATCCATCATCCTCCATCCATCATCCTCCATCCATCATCCTCCATCCATCCATCCATCATCCTCCATCCATCCTCCATCCATCATCCTCCATCCATCATCAGGATCATTTATAGTGAAATTTCAGGTTTTACTCAACAAAACCACCTTTTCATGACAACAAACTTCTTCCATACAAGACCTGTGCTCACAGCATAGAGATCGATGATACAGCCGTTATCTGTCATATGCATTTCACCTTTTGCCGCCTACATGACGGTCTGCTTTGGGCTGCTTTCATGCTGCTCCAACAAAAAAAACGCATATGCATTTTTTTTCCGTGTTTCCAGTGCATTTTCTGGGTGCCTATTACCAAGCATTCAACTGTGAAACTTAAAGGCGACTCAAGAAATGCACCAAAAAAATGCGTTTTTGACATATTTGCTATTCGTTACAATGAGGACCTGCATTTTCGGTGCAGTTTTGAAAACCGCAGCAAAAGATAAAAGCAAGAAGGAATTTTCAAAATGCACTGCACCCGCAGCACAGGGATGTGAGGAGTTTTAAATGGATTGCAATTGTGCTTTGGTTTTAGCACAGCATCAACGCATCAGTCAATTATATCAATTTGGAGCTCATCTAATAGAACAGGGGTTCTCCAAACATTCAAAACAAAGGGATGGTTTACTGTACAGACTTAGCGGGGTCCAGACTGTAGCCATTGAGTAGAAAAGCTCCTGACATCAGTGGGAATAAGCAATGGCCCGTCTTTGGGTGTCGGTGGGAATAAGCAATGGCCCGTCTTTGGGTGTCGGTGGGAATAGACAATGGCCCGTCTTTGGGTCGGCGGGAATAAACAACGGCCCGTCTTTGGGTGTCGGCGGGAATAAACAACGGCCCGTCTTTGGGTGTCGGCGGGAATAAACAACGGCCCGTCTTTGGGTGTCGGCGGGAATAAACAACGGCCCGTCTTTGGGTGTCGGCGGGAATAAACAACGGCCCGTCTTTGGGTGTCGGCGGGAATAAACAACGGCCCGTCTTTGGGTGTCGGCGGGAATAAACAACGGCCCGTCTTTGGGTGTCGGCGGGAATAAACAACGGCCCGTCTTTGGGTGTCATTGGGAGGAATTGTGCCCCATCACTGTTGTCATTGGGCCCCATTACTAGTGTCATTGGGAGAAATTATGCCCAATTAGTATTAGTATTAGTTAATGAAAATAGTGCCCCAAGAGCCAGATAGAAGTAAGCAAAGGTCCGTATCTGGCCCCGGGGCCACAGTTTGAAGATCACTGTACTAGAGGGAGCACTGATGTGATATTCGCTGCTTAACAACTGTTGGGATAAGATTCCAGCCACATAGGAAGGGAATGTTCTTAATGAGTCAACAGACATACATGCACAGTGAGAAGGAACAGTAAAGTACAAGCACCGTCTAACACTGCAAAGCAGAAGTAGAGTTATTAAGCAAACCGTGCTGCCCCCTCCCATAGAGATCTGATGATCAGCAGCTAGAGAAACACCTAACTCCCTGCTTGATGTGGAACTACACTGCATCGGAGCAACACAAATGCGATTTAAATCATTTTTAATATTTGAAGTAAACTCACCCATCTATCCATACCTCCATGATTTCTTTTGCTGAGAAGTCATTTTGAACACCCCCCCCCCCCCCCCCACCTCTAGGATTTCTTAAAGTGTTACTAAACCCACAACTGTAAAATCAGTCTATTTGCAGTAAAGCATGCTTGTTATACTCACTGTGGAACCTAAGGGGTTAATCCTCTGCATTGTGGAAAAAGGCAGTTTGATCCTGTCTTGTCTGACCCCTCCCCTTCTTACACAGTCCCCAATCCATCAGCTGTAATACAGAGCTATAGGAGGCACTCTGCAAATGCCCAGTTTAGTGAGTATTGCATTTGATCAGCACAGGGCCAATCAGCACTGTCCAGACAGAGGACCAGGGGTCATGAAGACTCATAGGACAGTCAGAGAAGAATGGAAACTCCTTCTATAAGATTAACCAGTGCTCAGCTGGACACTAACAGAAGTCACAAGACTGCTATATACTGTTGATGAGAAAAGGTATTTAGCAGTTTATATTTACTAAAATAACTGCATTTCCATGTTCTGTGTACTGTGGGAGACCAGGTATAGTGAATGCAGGGTCCTGGGTTTAGTAGCTCTAAGTAAGGGCAGGTGATTCATTTATCTTCTGGAATCCATCTGCCCTTAGCTCAAGCATACAGGCAGGAAGGGGTGTGCTTAGCTGAGAAAACCCCTCTCCTCTCCTGAAGAACCCTGGGGTGTACGACTGTTTTCCTAGGTTAGAAAACCAGAAGCAACTGAAATAAATGGATAGGTAAATATTATATTTACTAGTTTTAAACTTTATCAATGCTAGCAGCATGCGGTTGAAAAATAGTCTTGAGGAGAGAGTGAAGTTCCACCTTACTGTGAACTTTGCACCTAAATAAAAAGGTTTGTTTTTTTTAGTGTGCCGCCGCCCCCCCCCCCCCTCCTTTCCTAAAACGTACATTAACCCCCCCCCCCCCCCCAAAAAAAAAAAAGTATTGGGAGAAAAGTTAAAAAAAAAAAAAAACATACTTTCCTTTCTCCTGACTCTTGCCCATGCAGCCTAGGTTGGGGTAATGTCACCATTTTCCCATGAGATATGGGGACTGGGGAGTAGCTCATATCCCACAAGATGATCCTGCGCGGTGCTGGAGAGTCTTCTCATGAGATCTGGGCTACGCCGCAATTGGTGACATGACCCCTCTGCAAGGGGAAGAAAGGGAAAAGACAAGTATATCTACCACACCTTTTTTTTTCAGAAGTTGAATAGAGTTTTGTTTTACGAAGGGTCTGAGGTGGAGTATATTTGCCCCCCAGATTTTTGGATTTTATGGAGGTAGACTGGGTGCCTATCTGCAATTTGCTAGTTTCGCAGTAGACGGGAGTTAATAGTAGGGGACACTCCCTCCCGTATGACTAATAAAGTGTAGCAGTGAGGTTAGGGCAGGGGTCTGCAACCTTTAAGACATAAAGAGCCACTTGGACCAGTTTCCGAGAGGGGAAAAAAAGACTGGGAGCCGCAAAACCATTGCAACATTTAAAACAAATCCGACACTGCATATATTGCAAAAAGCACTCTGGTCATGAAGGGGGTTTAAGGGCCCAGTAAGCAAAGGGTTAATCAGGGCCACAGTGTATCGTCATAATCACAATCATAGCCTTAGGTCAGTGGTGGGCAACCTTTTTTTTCAACTGAGCCAAATCTCGCCAAAACCACGATTGAAATTTATTTTGAGAGCCACATTTTTAAAACTGAAAATACATCCCCCATATAGTAATTCATCCCCCATAGTAATTCATCCCCCCTATAGTAATTCATCCCCCATACAGTAATTCATCCCCCATCAGTAATTCATCCCCCATACAGTAATTCATCCCCCATATAGTAATTCTTTCCCCCCATATAATTCATCCCCCCCATAGTAATTCATCCCCCATATAGTAATTCATCCCCCATATAGTAATTCATCCCCCATATAGTAATTCATCCCCCCCTATAGTAATCATCCCCCCATATAGTAATTCATCCCCCCATATAGTAATTCATCCCCCATATAGTAATTCATCCCCTATAGTAATTCATCCCCTATAGTAATTCCCTCCTATAGTAATTCATCCCCCTATAGTAATTCATTCCCCCATATTGTGTCAATTCACTTACCTTTGCTCCGCGCGTTCCTCTCGCCGTGTTCCCGCGCCGTTCCGGTCTTCAGGGCGGACTGTGAGAGGAGAGGAGTTCGTCACGCTGCCCCGCCTACATCCTGACAGCCAATGTTTGCCACGCTCCGTGAGCCGGATTAAAAGGTCCGCCAGGCCGTAGTTTTTGCCCATTGCTGGGCTAGCTGCAGAGTCCTGACTTTTGGGGCGGCCCGCCCGAGAGGAGGGAGGGGAGCGGGCGCCCGGCACACAGAAGAGCCGCATTGAAGTGTGTAAATAGCCGCGGCTTGCCGACCACTGAGCTACGGCAACCCTATTGCCTGTCACCTGGTGGGCAGTGTGCTCCGGAGCCGCAGCCAAGGTGAAAAAGAGCCGCGGGTTGCCGACACCCTGGTTAGGGGAAGGTTGCAGTCTTTGCTAGGAACAGACTAAGGTTGGCTATACATTATGCAATTATGATGGTTAAAGGAAACAAAAAACAAACAAAAACAAAAAAAAAAAAAAAAATCGCTCAACTCCCATATCAATGTTGATGGGGAATTCCTCCAACTGCACTATTGTATTTTGACAGTGGGGGGAAGGGGGGAGGAAGGGGGAGGAGGAGGAGAGAAAGGGGGGGGGGGGGGGAGGAGGAGGAGGAGAGAAAGGGGGGGGGGAGGAGGAGGAGAGAAAGGGGGGGGGGGGGGAGGAGGAGAGAAGAGGGGGGGGGGGGAAAGGAGGAGAGAAAGGGGGGGGTGGGGAGGAGGAGAGAAAGGGGGGGGGGAGGAGGAGAGAAAGGGGGGGGGGGGGAGGAGGAGAGAAAGGGGGGGGGGGAGGAGAGAAAGGGGGGGGGGAAGGAGGAGAGAAAGGGGGGGGG